TTGAGTCCAACTGTTGGTCTTTGTTGCACATCATTCGTGCTCACTCTCCCCTCACTTCCTGACACCTCTCTACTGTCCCGTTTATATCTGATAAAGGCATAAAAATAGCTACAAGAAACTGATATTGTGTAATTTATGTCACAACATCACATCATTTATACACCATAGATTAATGCAGACGTTGCTTAGTTAAAAATGCAGTTTGGTTGTAAAACCATACAATCCCTGGTTCACTGCAGTAACAAGTTTTGATGGTTATCCAGTTTATTTAAGGCAGACAACACAAAGGAGGGCATTTTGGACATTCAGATTAGTCGTGGTTTAATTGATATATATTTGTTTAGTTCACTTGGCTTCATCTATTCTTGAGTAACTGGGGTTAAAAAATCTACAGCATTTCAGGAAAAAAGGCAGAACAAATGAACAGAATTTTGTACAGCAGTAAAATGTTGGCTTCTTCTGTCTTGTTTTACAATTGCTCTAGTGGTGTTTATGCATGCAGATAGTTGTGGTTTTATTTGGCCAGCATTTTCATTTATCTGACTGATTATGGCTGCTGCCCAACACAATGGAGGCAGATGGAATTTTGTTTTTCACTGCTCACAGTGAAAAATTACTCCTCCACTAAAACTAGTTCCAATGAAAACTGTTAATCTGTTGACTGTCTCTGGATTGTCCAGAGACACATGGACACAATTATGAGAAGCTGGAAGACAAATAAAACCAAAGCTTGTATGGACACCAAGTCAGAAAATGCCAAGAAAATACCCATACAGAAATATATATATCTATATATGTCTATAAGCATACACACATTAACACACATATGGGCTATATATATATATATATATATATATATATATATGTCAATATATGAAGTTGTAACAATTTCCAATACATATGTGTTTTTTTTGCATTTGTATATAAACTTCATACATGGAAATTCATGTATGTATATATATTACATTTGTGTATGTGCTATTGTGACTATAAATCGGTTTGTACAGATCCCAGTGTCTTCTGAGGTCACAGTTTGGAAAACTGAACATCATTAGAAATCTGTCAAAGCTTTTGGGGAAAACTGTAATAATCAGTCACTCTGAAGGACAAATAAACTCTCACCATGAGCCTGAAAAAGGCAGTGTTAACTTGGCAGGCATGTTGAGGGAGTCTCACAATCAAAGCTTTTTGTCTTAGTCACTCTGACACAGAAGCCCAATTAAAGCTTGACTAAATGGAGGCACCAACGAGAACATGTCAGTTTCCTGCCAGGGAAGTATTGGAGCCCCTGCATCGGGATTAAAAGCCGTGATTGAATTAGACACCGCCGCAGAGGGAGGCAGAGATATGGGGAGAGGTAGGGGATAGACAACACAGTCATAAGAGCGTGAGCAGTTGGCTAAAACTGCAAATTCTCTGCCCTCTGACTGAAGCTCTGTGGATGATTTATTGCACGCAGAATTCCCTGTTCCTGTCCTGTAAATGCACTGCGTAGGATGTTTCTCATTGGGCTGACTATTAGCAGAGCAGTGCTCAGCATATCAAATATTTCCTCAGCTCTCCCCTGACATTCAGAAAAATCCTTACAAAGTGTCTTTTTAATTAATCTTCTGCTTTGCAATGGGGAAAATACTCATCTGGGCCTTAAGGATGAAAATGTTTTACTGACTGATGTTCCAACCTGATAACACACTTGATGACTCACATGCTGTATGTTTAACACAGACAGACACTGAATAACATGAGTCACTTGAAAGCATCTGCTCACACATCGAGATAAATTTCAGCCAGATTTTGATTCTCTGGCAACGAGTGACTGCAGATGTGATGAAATAAGACGTAACGAGACAGTGTTGATCACGCAGAGCTGCTTAGATTAGGATATGTTGTGTTTTAAAAAAAATCTAAATAATAACAAAAACACATAGTAACACATGTACAAGAATGTTACTATGGTAAATGATTCCTGTATTTTGACTTGTTTCATCATGAGTTTAGCAGAAGGAGAAAAGAGATTCTAAAGGGAGGGGTAGGTTTGCCTGGTTTGATTCCTGGTCACTATTTGCTGCAAATATACCTCCTCGCTAACTGCTGTCAGTTCAGTGAGGCTCCCGACAGCCGCCCTGCAGGAAAAGACGCTCCCTCTCATTCATTTGAATGGAGCCGGTCCGTCTTGGGATCCCAACGTGCGGAAGTCTGCTAAAAAGTTGAACCAAGCTCAAATTTATCTGTTGCTTGAGGTTCGTCACTGTGGTTGTTCTTGGCTGTGAGGTCGCAGCAGGACCAGCCGTATAACTGCTAATGTCCACGAGTGACTGACTGAGTGATAGAGTGATTATCGGTCAGCTGAATGCCACATGACTGTCATGAAGTTACACCACTGGTTGGCGAGCCGAGTGCAGGTCTGTCCCTCATTGGCTGTTGCTTTCAAAATGAATTGGCACAAACAGTTTCTAGTAGGGGCGTGTTTACAGCCTGCAGCGCATTTGTTGCTCGATTTAGAGACTTTTTTTTTTTTCAAAAAAGGCGCTTAGCATAGAAGAGGCTCTCCAGTGATGCCCCGCAAGCGAGAGGCACAACGGTCCCTGTGTCTGCTCTGTTCAGTGAGTGGCAGCCGCTTGTCACTGTGTGGGAGATAAAATAAGATATTCTGTAGTTCCTCATTTTCTCTCTCAATGATCATTTTAGAAGTAAATATGGCTGAAATCACAGCACAGTTTTTGTCTTTAACTTATGTGTTTGGGGATTTTGTCAGACGACGTCGTGGTTATAAAATCAGGATTTTAGCCGTGCAGAGCAGCAGCTTGGAAATGGGCCGTGTTTCAGTCACTATTTCATGTTTGTTCCATTGTCTGACAACTGAAACATGTAAATGAGAGCAGCTTTAGTGGGAATTTGGCCATATTAAAATACTGTATGTGAGCACAGAGAGTAGAAGAGACAGAAACAGATAAAGAGCAGAAACCAGCTGTCTGTGGACAGAATGCAAATAAGAGGGCGATGATGTTAGTTGATGTCATATACAGCGTTTCCACAAATGTTTTCAACTACACCCTCAAATTTTGCACATTTACCATTCATGGTCCAGCCATATACCAGGTTTTGACCCAGTCTTGCAATGAATGAAATATAACATAATGTCCAGGCAGGGCTATTAAACAGTTTTTCATAGTTACTGATCAGGAATAACATCAAAATTAGGGGAATTACCAAAGTCATTAGGATTTATTCTCTGGAGACCATCAATGTTAGTCACATTGTACAAGAGGATATAAAGAAGAATTCTCAAAAGAAAAAATTATTTGACAGAGGTTTTAAAATTTAACAGTAGCAATTTTCTATTATTATTTTCTAGTATTAATTCATTCATATATATTTTTTTGTTGATTTTATTGTTGATTTGGGATTTGTTTGTTTCGCCTTTGACTTGGAATGAACAGAAATACATCTACACACCACATACACACACTCCAGCCACAGGTCAAGGCAATCTCAACCTTCATTTTCTCATTGGTGCAAGATGAGGTCTTTCAATGGGGAAAGTAATAGAACAGAGGATGGCAAGGTATAGAGTCTCTGTAGGTTCATGTATAAAGATAATGTGTGTGTGTGTGTGTGTGTGTGTGTGTGCGTGTGTGTGTGTGTGTGTGTGTGTGTGTGTGTGTGTGTGTGTGTGTGTGTGTGTGTGTGTGTGTGTGGTAAAATGAAAGATGAAAAAGGTGAAATGAAGTTGAACTGGAGGAGAGACAGATAAAGAAGGCGGCTAATAGTGGAGGCAAACAGGACGAGAGAGAGAGAGAGAGAGAGAGAGAGAGAGGTGGGGTGAACACCAGCGCTCATATATATACGGGAAGTCGGGCAGCTGTGACGCACTGAGGCACCAAAGCAGTCAAGATAAAGTACCAGAAAAACTAAGTCCAGGATGCAAAGAAATATGGCGATTACACATCTTCTCACATTTCTTCAAATCTTTTGTTCATCTTGTGAATAAGAAGAGGACAAAGCCCTCACGGAGCCCAAAGCCCTAAGCTGCAGGTGGGTTTTTTGTTTGTTTGTTTGTTTGTTTGTTTGTTTGTTTTTATCTTAATAACAGTTGCATGTTGAATGAATAAATAAATCCAGTGTGGGAATCCAAACAAAAGCCTCTCTGGAGTCTGTATTCTACAGAACAGACCTGGTGAGAGCATTGTTTGTTTTTAAGTATATTTTTTGTGAGGACCGGTGAGTACACTCAACATATTTAAGAAAAATAAACATGTGTTTTCCAGTATAATCACATGGTCACCAGATCACACTTGCCTTCTAGTGGGTGTCACTCTGAGTTTAATTAATCTGATTCTCCAGATACGAGTCAAGCATTTTATTCAGTGTACAACAAGCATAATGTATCTCTACTTCCTTAGCTGAAAAGGGGTATTCAAGCGATTTAGTGTTACACTTCCATAAGACTGAGGCAGTCACTGCTCAAAATCAACCTTTAGTCCCAAGTAAATCCTACAATCCTATTGGCTCGTATCTTTCACTCACTCACATATCATTCAAACTTAGCACCTCCAGTTTGTAACTCAGACTTCAAATCAAAGCATCACAGGCAAGTCTTCAGAGGTGTAAAGGTCTTTATTAGCATCACAAAGACCTGAGTTAGTCTGCAGAGCAACTGAAGAATTGTCAAAAGTACAACTTCTTTTACACGATTTCCTTCTGAGCAAACACATGGTGAAAGCACATCCTATTGGTTTAATATCAGAATCATGATATCGCCCATCCAGTCTTTGGCTTGTCTACTGTTTATTTATCCTTGGCAAGCTCATGACTTTGTTTGTCTTCAGCAGCGGGACTGCAGGATGTGCAGGTCACTGCACTTCCTTTTGACGACACCAAGTGATTACAACATACAACATACTGAATCAGATCAAAATTCAAGGTGCGCCTATAAAATTCACCTTTTTATTCTTTCCATTAGGTTTAGAAACGCAGTAACTTTCTTGCCAATCACCAATATGCCAGAGCTGAACTGTTCCCTCGAAGCCATTTCCACGACTGGTGCCACAGTTTTCGGCGGCGCAGGCTGCCCTGAGGCGGCTGTGGTGTGTGGGATGAATATCTCCTGGTTGTTGGCGGATGGTACTGAACAAGAATTGGATGACGCGTGTTTGAGCGAGGAGGAGTACCTGGCCAGGCACATGGGGCCTCTGAGGTCTCCTGTGTTCTTTCCCGTCTGCGTCACCTACCTCACCATCTTCATGGTGGGCGTCCTGGGCAATTTTTTGACCTGTGCAGTCATTTTACGCTACAGGGTTATGCAGACGCCCACCAACTACTACCTGCTGAGCCTGGCGGTGTCCGACCTGCTGGTGCTGCTGCTGGGCATGCCGTTAGAGCTCTACGACATGTGGCAGAACTACCCCTTCCTGCTTGGGGAGTGGGGCTGCTACTTCAAAACCTTTCTGTTTGAGACTGTCTGCTTTGCCTCAATCCTCAATGTCACCGCACTCAGCGTGGAACGCTACATGGCGGTGGTCCACCCCCTAAAGGTCAAACACATGGCCACACGTGCTCATGTCAAGAGGGTCATCTTCATGCTGTGGGTCCTGTCCATGCTGTGTGCTGTGCCAAACACCAGTCTGCATGGGATTATGGCTCTGCCTTCGAGGTTTGGACGACAGTTTCCTCGATCTGCTATCTGCCGTAGGTTTGCATTTTAGATTTTATTCTTATTGTTTTTAAGAGTCTACAGCCACACTTGTAGTGCTATGAGGATGTTATGCTATGCTCACGATGCCTATGCTAACATCCTGATGTTAAGCAGGGATAATCTTTACCAATGGTTACCATCTTAATTTAGCCTGTCAGTACAGTTGAGGCTGATGGGACTATCATTGGTTTTCATTTATTTGGTCAGACACCGACATATTGGACAAATTAAAATGATGACCTCTTGATGGCGCTAGATTTAAGAAAAAAAATGAACACAGTTCATTTACAAAGGGAACATATTTGTACAAAATGTCACATCACTACATTCAATTGTTGTCCAAGACATTTCACTAAAAAAACACAAATATGAACCTCATGGTGACGATGGAGAAAAAAAGTCTCTGATTACCAAAGTTGTTAGGATTCATCCTCTGGGCACCATGATTATCTGCACCAAATTTCATGGTAATCCATCCAATATTTGTCAAGAAATTTTAATTAAAAACCAAAACTGTTAGCATGCTAATGCTCCTGAAGTCAGTGGGATTCACCCCTGGGGACAACAGTGTCTGTACAAAGTGTTACAACAATCCATTGATTAACTGGTGAGATATTTCAGTCTGGATCAAAGTGATGGGCTGAGAGACCAACATTGTCATCTCTAGAGGTTTTTGCAGTGACATATGAAGTAATAATACCCATGGTACACCTGGGACCATGATCTCTACTAACAAATCTGTGCTATTCTACATTGTTACATCTCCATCCTCAGATGTGGTCCAGCCCACCTGGATATACAACCGGATCATCCTGATTTCCACGCTGGTCTTCTTCCTGCTCCCAATGCTGATAATTAGCGTCCTCTACCTGCTCATTGGCTTGCAGCTCCGCAGAGAGAAGTTAACGACCATGGTGGACAACAGGTGTCGCTTTGGGTCGGAAAGTCTCTCCAGGTCCCACAAGCAGAAGCTGAGCAAACGCAACGTGCAAGTCACCAAAATGCTGTGTAGGTGTCAATTCAGTTATGTTTGTTCCAAGTTGCAAAAACAGAATTTAAATTGACTGTGTTAACACCCATTGTTCCCATATGTATTAGTTATTTTTCCATTAGATTATTTTTAATTTAATTTGCCCATCTGTCTCAGCTTTGTCTTGTCGTCTGTCAAATCCTGGTGATTGGACCGATGGTGTGTGTGCTTCTGTTTTCCTCTTGTCAGTCTGTCTGTCCGGGGTCGAGTATGACTCATGTAATTTGTCCATCTGGTCCAGGTGTGCTGGTGATTGTGTTCGGACTCTGCTGGGCTCCCTTCCACGTGGACCGCTTGGTGTGGAGCTACATCAACACCTCGTCCGACCAGCACCGTCAGATCTTCGAGCACGTCCACATCGTCTCCGGTGTTTTCTTCTACCTGAGCTCCGCCATCAACCCCGTCATCTACAACCTCATGTCCACCAGATTTAGAGAAATGTTCAGTCACATGACGTGTTATACGAACAGTTGGCCGATTCACTCCAGCTTACAGATGACCCAACGCAGCACCTTGAGCGAGAAAACGCCCAACAACAGTGTGAAATGGACTTAAGGACTTCTGAGTCAAAGAAAGTCCAAGAACATTAAAGACAGATACAGTAGGTGACAAATTAAATAAAAATTTAGTGGAAGAATGCAACAAATACAGGGCACGGGGTGTCACTGAATGGTTCGATGCCCTGTGGCCTACACAGAAGCTAGACCTGATCCAAAATGAACACCCAAGGGAGATTTTGGACCAACCACCTCCATCATCAACACACCAAATTAGGGAATATTTTTTGAAAGAATGTTGATCGTCCGTCCGAGAGAGCTAAGAGACTTAGAATAAAAATCTTTGATAAGGAGCATTTAAGCTGTCCCAGGATCTTGTGGCAGCCAAACACCTTCAAATGGGAAGGTCTTGGCCTCAAATGGAAGGATATTAACCTCTGAGTGATAGGGATGAACAGATGTTGTGAAGGATATACTGTGTGACCAAAGGCTATGTGACAAGCCTTAAGAGACACACACAAAAATAAGCATGCCTGCATGCTGCACACACCCTGAGTGTAATATCTACAGTAATTCAAATCCTATTTAGAGAGAGGACCAATAAGACAACATCCTGAATGAAGTGAAAAGATGACAAAGTCATTGCTTAGATGAACGATGAAATTATCATATAAATGGCACAATTTATGGATTGAAAATGTAACCCATCATCTGTATGACAAGTAAATCATTTCTATTTGTGAACTGTATTTAATGTATTTACTGTATAATGTGAAGCATAACACTTCCAGGCTTGCCTATTTAGCGCTGCACAGCTCCGAGTGCCAACATCAACAACGCTGACAAAGCAAAGAATGAATGCATAACGGCTCCTGTTTAAAAGCAGCAAACACTTGTCTGGGAATGAATCAGAGGTGAAAATGAAAGTTAATTAAGGGAAAGGGTGGAATAACCATAAGATGGTTTGACTATGGTATTTATAACCAGTGCCTTCCAAGTATTTGAATTATATTCAGAAAATACATGAGGCTCAATGATTTTATACACCAACTGCCATGTTCTCACACGTTTCTTTGATACTTATAATATTTACTCATACGATACACAATATTAATAAGTCCACATACTGCTTAAAGCTAAATTAACAAAATATACATCATGGTTTTAGAAATGGTTATATCCTGGTTTAAAGTACCATATTCGTTTACTGCTTTCCTGATTTTAAAACATGTAAGTGTTATTGTTGTTTAATGTATCAATTAATATTTTGGATTACCTGTATATAGGACATGTGAATATTTATCAACTCTTTTATTAATGCACAGGGTCTGATGCAGTCTTCTCTTCTATTTAATGAAAGCATGTATGTTTTTCTCAGCATGTACCCTTGAAATAGTATTTATGATTCCATGACCTGCTTTTGAATATCAGCGGTAAGATGTGCCAGCAGTGTTATTGTTTTTATCACTGGTTTAACTTGGAAGAAAATGAGTATAATGAGCCTTTGCACTTGTTTTCATATTCAGACTCGTGGGCTGCAGAGCGACCAGCTCCAGGACAGAAATGTCTTCTGTTTAAACATTGTGGTTTAAGTGCCCGAACAATACAAGTTATTTATGAGTAATGAGGTGGGCCAGGAGCCACAAGAACCTTTCCACTGTGCTGTCTCATCTCAGCTTTGGATGACACGCAGTGCAGGGGAGAAGGTAATTTGTACACATGGAGATGATAATTATGCGGAGTGGAGGCTATGATGTCACCAGGTCAGTAATATGGAAAAAATTAACGAGATGACTGAGGAGGAGGAGGACACAAGAAAAGAAATGAGTAAAATGATGGATGCTGACAAATCACTGTGTAATGGCACAGTGTTATCAGTGTGACACACCAGCACTAATGACTGTCAGCATACCCACAACTTCCATCATCATAACACAATATGTTGTTTACCCACTGCCTCTGCAAATAGACTCATTTAAAAGCTTGAATCACAGTATCACTCAAGTAATGGTGTTTCAGCGGCATGGTTATTATCACCACCCATGGCTCTTTGATGTAACATTATGAGGCAGACGGTATCATTTAACTGTAAGGAATTATGTGAGCCGAATTCGGGAGCTATGAAATTAAAGTGCAAAACAACCCAAATGAGAAATATGATGTGTTTCATTTTGACTTTCACTCAGAGAAATGTGCAGAGATCTGGAAAATTCTACATGTTGAAAACCGTAAAAACCCGGAATTGAAAACAATAAAAAGTCAGTGTAATGCTCAGTGGGCGCGGTGAGAGGGAGGAAATGCAGAAAAGTTTTTGGCCTCACATCACTTTTTTTCATCAGTTCAAACCCAACCTGCGTGTAAAGTTCTGTAAGTAATTAACATGCATCATCCTGAAATGTTTTGATTCACAACATAATGAAAAGAAGAGAGTTACAGTTTTTTAATTTAGAAACTTCATTGTCAGTCGGAGCAATTGAAAACTTATAGATCACCTCTATTAAAGCAGCAGATGATAAGGTCTGGCAGCCACATCACTCAGCAATGTGCTTCCTCGTGCTGGGACAGGAGAATATGTAGAAGCACAAGAGCATATCAGAGACAAGTAGGATATGCGGGGGGAGATGTGCCTCGTAATGAGATGAGATTAAGCCTATAGCATGGTGAGCATGGGGACTGACGCTAGTGGTGTGATTGACAGTGAGATTGAAGGTCACTCTAACAGGAGCAGCTGAGAAAAAGCCAGAGAAGACATGAGACTACATCCTTGACCTGATGTCTTAAACAGAGAGCAGTGGCGCTTGGCTGTGGCTCTATAGCTGTATACACCAGCACCATGGTTGAGCATTCAGTTCAAGCACCAATAGGGAGTCTGTGGATGAAGTGTTGTACAGTCAAAACCCAACATCCAGCAGCGGAGTGAAGCATCGAAAACAGTCAGCCGGGAATAATATCATAAAATCCACTTTAAGGTGCGCTAATCAATATGTTCATTCAGGCTGTAGGGATGCAATGCTGTTTGGACGGTCTACCACTTTGGTCCAGACACAAATAACTCGACAACTGTTGGATGGGTTGATATTCCCAGAGGATGTCTCCTAATGAGTTTGGTGATCTCCTCACTTTTGCTCTAGTGCCATCACCTTGACATTAATGATACTGAGGGAAAGGTCTTGACTGCAGTTGAGTGGACCAGCATGAATTGTGGTACAGTTATTCATGTCCGTCTCAGGGTGAACTGTATTAATTGTGGTAACCGTGCTAACATGCTAAACTACAATGGCAAACATGGTTAACATTAAACGTGCTAAACACTGTGAGTATGATGCCATGTTAGTTTAAGCATTTAGCTCAAAGCCCCACTGCACCTAAGCACAGCCTCACAAAACTGCTAGCATGGCTGTACACTCTTAGTCTGACTAAATTAACAGTGGATTAAATGCATATGTGAACTGTGAAAGGGATGAAGCCACAGATCTCCTGCCTCTGCAGTTTCCCTCAGCTCTACGGAGGGTTTTAGCCTGTTTTGTCTCAGTTCATTGTTTTGGTTTTACGGACCACAGCTTTGCTGTTTTGGTTCACAATCACTGCTCTCGTTAACCTGGTTAACATTGCTGCAGCAGGCAGCTGTTTTCAGCATACACACTCTGTTAATGTAGACACCATAACCCCTGCACCAAACAGCATATAATCAAAAACTAGCTGGTGATCATGATGGAGCATCTACTTAATAAAACGTCGAGAGCCAGATATTTTTTTCAAGAGTTGGTCGGGGCTAAAACAGAGCTAAAGGGTGAGTGAACATTGGATCTACTTACATTTGTCAGGTTGCCAGAAAAGTGACGCCTTATAAATGCTGCTATATAACTGCTGGATGTGTAAATGAGCAGCTGTTATTTTATGATGCTAATATGTGTTTCCAGCTTGTTCCACTTCCCCCAAGTGGCCAAAAAAATGTAGTTAATACTGTTTTAAACATTTGGGAATGATTTAATGGGCTTAGAATTTTATAGATAATTCTAGGCCCTCTCATTAGACATTTCTGCCACCACTGACAGATAATGGGTTTATGATCTTACACAGGCAGAGCACTGGTTCATTTAAAGACTTAAACTCAGACATTCAGTTCCGACATCAATAGTTAGGCTAAAATTTCCCTTAATTTACACCAACTCAGTGAAAAGTATAACATTCCTCAGTCCCTCTTCAGATTTGTCCAACCTTTTACCCTCACATCCTTAAATCATGAGCTGATCCCCAAACAGCCATCATATCTTTCTAGATTCACACTTTGATGTTATGTCGTGCCGGTGTTCTGTATTTTACATTTATATATGATTTAGAGCAGCTTGTCTACACTGGCTGTGTGGCAAAAGCAACACATCAGCAATGGTGGAGCTTTTAGAAAATGTGCCATAAAAATTCTCTTTCCAGCTCTTGTGCAACAACTATATAAAGAAAGTGAATATATTTTCATGCACAGTGAATCAGTGTTTAGCACTAATCAAACCTACCTTAGGTTCTTTGTGCGTGGGTGTCATGCTAGAGTTCAAAGACGTGCAGGTTAGGTTAATTAGAAAATTCAACAACGAGTGTACTATGCATCGCCTCGTCACCTCGTGCATTCTATCACCTCCTGCGACCCTGAACAGGATAAGCAGGTGTAAAGAACGAATGGATGGAAAATAGTTGTGGCCTGAATACTAATGCCTGACCACAGATTCCAGAGAAAATGTTGGCCTATGAGGAATTAGTTTTCACGATTTGATTGAGGCACAACATTATTCAGCTGGGAAACTAGTAAAACAAGGTCACGTGCACAAAAATATATGTACAAGGCTTGAGTGGATGTCAGTGTAAGCAAAAAGTAATTTGCAGACTGTAAATATTGGTAGATAAAAGGGAAACAGGATATCAGCAGCACACTGATTAAACTCTGGCACTGCTTCACTGTTTTCATTTTCTCCGTGTTTTACTAGTCTTAGCGGCGGAGATTAGTTCTCCACTCAATTTACACACAAGCTATTTCACCAAAGACAAGTCCCAGGGCAGGAGTTCTGCTGTGATTGCATTCTCCTTACAATGATGCTCTTGTGCTGCATTGATACACCTGCAAAGTAAAGAGGGAGAAACTTCCCAGGAGAGCAGGAGAAATATACGTTTTTAGCCACGCTAGCAGCATGGCTCAATGTCAGTCCACAACTAAGACTGATGTATTTCAGCCATGAAAATTTGTAGACACTCGTGGTCTCCAGAGGATGAATCCCATTGGCTTTGCTATGGGTTAACCTTTCCTGTAGCGCCACCATGAGGTTCACATTTTTGGTTTTCAGTGAACTGTCTCAGCAACTATGGATTGCCACTTTGTCCAAGAAGGTTTATGACCTGCAAGCTAATGACACGCATCTGCTTCAGATTTATCCATCCAACCATTATCCATACTGCTTATCCCTATAGGAGCCAACCCCAGCGGCCATGTGGCGAAGGCGGGGTGCACCCTGGACAGATCGCCAGTCTATAAGGGCTGACAAATAGAGACAAACAACCGTACACAATCACATTTGCCTCAGAGTTATGATTAGTCCTAATAAGCAGGTGTTAGCTTGCTGCAGACTAAATTATTGTGGTGAATACTGTAAACATCTGCATGTTTTTAGCATTTTAATTGTTGTTGTTATCAAGTTGTCATTAGCATTTAGCTTTAAGCACTGCTGTGCTGAAGTACATCCTAATGGAGCTGTTTGCATGGCTGTAGACTCTTAGTCTTGTCAAAAAAAAGTAATTACCTAAAACAACTGGGCTCTGTCACTTTTAGCAAAGCATTAAGCCATGTTTCAGGTAATAGAACTACTGAAGGGACAATGTAAGCACGACACAAAGTTCAGAGACAGAGTTTATAGTCAGTTTTTAGTGGAAAGCTGCTCCATTCTGCACAAAAATTACACAGCTCAGCTAATTTTAGGTTTGTAACTTTAATGAATTTTTATAACTGTGAAACCTTAGAAGATTCAGATGCATCAGAAACAAAATTATACAATAATCATCTCTGCACCTTAAAACCACAACGCAAAAAGAGCTGTGCAACAAAGCTGTGACTTCACATACTTTTCTGTCTGCCGTGATCTTTTTCATATAGCAACAAAAACCTTAAAGGTTACAGGCAACATCCTCTTTGAGTCAGTGCTCATGTGTCGTGTGTTAAATGAAATATAGAAATTGCAGTGAGCCTATTGTGTCAGCACTGGATTAAACAACTCTTCACATAAAACATCTGTTTACAGCTGCACTAGAAGAACATCCAAATATGGACATCCTTGTGAGTTTGTACACTCACGCTGATCTGCATTATAAGCATGAATCTATTGGTCTGGTTTAAGAAGCACATAGAATAAGATTCCTGTATGTCAATAGCAATAAATTGAACCACACATCATTATCACATCAATGTATGTTACATTTTCTCTTGTAGGATGCAGAATTAATTAGAATATAACAATATACAGCTAACACATGATTGTGTTTTGTTCTTTATACCACATGATGGGTTTATGCAACACATCTTATTTCTTCTCAAGACCAAACTCTTCATGGACAACAGCAGTAAATGCAAACAGCCAGTATGATAGAAACATGATAGAAATAGATAAATACATCACTCTGGAATTCTTATTTCCAATAAACACACTGTGACTGGTTTCAGCTAATTAGCACAGACTATATGTCTTCCCCCTGAAATGAACTAACACAATAAAACAGCTCCTAGCAAAGAGGAGGCTTCATATTGTTTTGCGAAACGATGTTAAGTGTGTTCTCACCTGAAGGGAATGTTTTTATCCACTACTGAGGGTGCAGTTAATTAAGGAGGGTAGAAGTGGTTTTTGTTTCTGCCTTTAATTACATCAGTGCCTGATAAAACCGCATTTGCAACTGTGATGTAACTCAGTCCCTGCGAATACAAGCACATAGCACTGTGCATATTTGTCTTTTTTGTTTCTTATGTTGGATTAAGAAACATATTCTTTAATCTGCATGATTTTTAGTCATCTGTGTGCTTATTTCATTAAATTATTCTGAAGGTCACTGATCAGTGAAAGTAGTTTGGGGATAATACTTCAAAGTGTGGCTGTACGTCACTGAGTTACATTTATGATTGTCGTGGCTTTTCAGTGAAAGGTATTCAAACGAGTCTATTAACGGCAACATAAACTGTATTTTAGGTCTTATAAATAATTTAGAGTGGGAGAACTGTAAATGAATAAAGACAGTGAAGAGGAAATAGTTTTTTAGACTTTAATATTTTACTTAGAGTTTGATATGAGAAGACCACTGTGACCCCAAACAAAGCATCTTCTTTGTAAAATAAGATTTTTACAGTAAAAACCAAAAGTAAAAAAAATAATGTAATATAAAAACAGAGCAAACTCTTTTTGCTAAGTAAGCACAAACTAAGTTAAGCAACATCGCACTCTATAGCAAACTACCAGAAAAAAAAAAAAAAAAAAAAAAAAAAAAAAAAAAAAAAAAAAAAAAAAAAAAAAAAGTCATACAGTCAACATGTCTGAATAGTCAGTAAAAAAAACAGGCCGAGCAATAACACACTGAATGTTTTGGACATGACGAAAGCAGCGAGGAACAAGGAGAAGAATAGAAATCAGAAGCTATACAAATGCTCCCTGAGGTGAAGATGTGGGAGATGAAGGCTGTCAGGCATTTTATTCCCATCTTTCAAAGCAGTTTGTTTCAGAGTTTTTTGGGACAGTACTTTCGCTCAAACTGGGCTACGTCAAACTTCCGAGTGCAACCTTTGTAGTTCATGTAACGGATCTTTCCGAAAACAGGTCTCTCTGCCCAGCCCTGGTCATGGATGCCACAAATAGACCACATACAACCTACAGGAGGAGAAAACAGCAGAAGGGGATCAAATGTGAGGAAAAACAATGGAGTGAATCTGTGTCAGAGGAATGTGGAGAATTTAATCTATGCACGTACCGACAAAGCCATTAGGGTCCTGGCCATCCAGCTCATAGCGATCGTTAAGGTACAGGGCGATGGAGAGCGCCTCCTTTGGTGACGAAGTCCACTCCAGAATCTTCTTGGCCCAGTACATCCTCAAGAAACCATGCATCTTCCCCTCACTGACCATCTGGTACTAACAGAGACATGCAATAAAAGCTGGTAAGAGACAATAGCACAGTGCAGAGTAGCGACAGAAGTGTTTGCATCAAAAACATTTGGAGAAAAAAAAGACACAGTGAGACCTGACCTAGACTGAACGTTGTACCTGAGCTGCGTTCCAGAGTTTGTCATGTGTCTTTGCTTCCTCCAGCTGCTGACGCGTGTAGAGATACGGCCTCTTATCTTTGGCATGAGCTTCAAGGGTCTTATGAGCCCACTCGCTCGCACCTAGGTACCACATGCACATAACACAACAACATTTATCAGAACACAAAGGTGGAGCTGAATCATTTCAAATGCGCTCTGTTAATTTAGATAAATAAATTCAAATTGGGAGCAGATCACTCATCTGCATGATGTCAATTACAGTATGGGACACTTACTTATTACAACAGAGTGAACAGGATGCAATTTAATGAGATTTCAACTGACCCTCCACGCTGTCGTATTTCTTGTTGTAGAAGCAGAAGTTGTCTGTCAGCTCCCTGCGCACCACCAGCTCCTCGATGAAGGAGGAGACGGACTGACCTGCCTTCTTCCCGCTGTGCTGAACTTGCAGCGCCACACGCTGGGCTGACAGGTGGCCTGATGGGAGCGAGAAGACATAGTTGAAGAGAATAAGAAAAGAGGTATTTAAAGGTGGACAGAATCAGTGGGCAAATAGAAGAGAATGTCTTCCCCAGTTCAGAGTTGGTATAAGGAACGAGGAAGCTTAAGTGTCCTGTGACCTGGTGTCACTGCTGTTCACTTTGATCTCATCTGAGGATGCAGCTTAGAAAGCAAAGCATTGCAAATGAAGACACAGATATGCTGCTGCCCTCTGGGTGTACAGTGAGTGAAGAGCATCTAGATTTTTTCATAAGTAGTAATGAGTATGATAGATATTTTTCAGTAATGAATCAAATGGTATTGTGTTTAGTGGTGTCCAATTGTTTGAAGGTAGTGGCAGCAGCATGAGTGTACAGGATAGTTTTATAATCCAGTGCAGATAATATGGTGGGCTGTATTATGTTTTCTCTCTTTTGAGAGAAACGGCCTCTGCTCTGGTGCAACAGTCCAATTTGAAATATTTAAAATGTTTTAAACGAGGTGTTTAGTGTGAGTTTTGTTGGAGAATCTGCCATCAAATCAAATCCTTAAGTATTTGTAATGCTTTACAGATCAAAGTAGTAACATCAGAACTGTTGTGAAATACATACGATTTGACTTTTTGGAGTTTAGAACAAGCGTTAACGCAGACTGTAACCTGCAGAAGTCCCGGTGTGAAGTGAGGCTGGTGGTATCGTAAGCATAAAAATGAATGTGGCGATGTTCAGCTGGAAAATTAACATTATTCATCTATAGAGCAAATGGCAATATTGATCCATGTGAGTCACCTTTTATCGATCAGGTGGGGAACTTGATTTTAAAACATCAGCAACAACAGTCTGGATTCTGAACAGCTCTAAGTAGAATCTTCAAAACGAGGACAATAGGTGTTAAGGTCACAAGTGTAAAAGTAAGATGTGAGAAGTGGTGATAAATGAGGAAGTTGTTATTGCTGGTTACTGTAGATTTTTGCAAAAACCACATCTTATTTTTTTCCCATGACGTTAACTACATTCAAGCCCACTAGCTTTTTCGTGTTGTAACCAACCGAAGCGGATCCAGGGGGAGAGGTGGCTGAGGGCGGCAGCATTCGGGTCGTTGCGTTTGATGTCAAACAGTTTAAGGCGCACATCAATGAATGACTCCAACATGGCTATGCCTCCCTTGGTGCCTGGCGTAGCCCACTCCGGCTCTCCTACTGTTCTGTCAACCTGCAGAGAGACCAGGGTTTTGTCCCAGTCTACTGGCTGAGAGGTGAAGAAGGGAGAAGAGAGGAAGACTCAGTAGAGGTCACAGCTGGCAGCGCTGAGCTAAAATATACACTGTGTTATCGTGAACTGCAAACTTCAAAAGCAGTGAGGAAAGTTCTGAGCCTTTAACCTCACATTATCAGGAGACTTGAACCACTGATCGGCATATCAATCACATCCTGCAGCTTTAACAGCTCCAGGAAGGAATTTAAACTTTTGCACAGTCGAAAAAAAAAAGTCGACTGTTTATATTCACCCATCAATAAATAATGGGCAGAGGAGAGGAGACAGCTGAAGGTTGAAAGGAAGTGTTTTATTGCAGCAGTTTGACTTCCAAACTCCCCATCAATGAGCTCTCTGACAGCTTGCTTTCCTATTGTATTGATCTTAGTAAACACTTCCAAAGCAATGAATATTATTACCAAAAGACAAATTATGTTTGCGTGGTCTTAACCGAGCCAAACGTCCTTGTGTGTGACATAAAAACAAATACTTGACTTCTTTTTCCACCTTACGATAGCATTTTGACTTTTATCCACAGTAATCTGAATGTGCCCTTCGCTGTCACTGCAGCACTTACTTTGGCGGTTCTTGTAGCTGTGTAGGGATGTTTCTCTACCAGAGGAAAATCAGTGAGGAACTCTGGCAAAAGCTTGGTGATTTTTCCTCGGATGGTCCTGGCGGCGTACTCGAGTTTAGGTGATGCTACCCAGCACGGAACAATATTATGGGCATCAACCTATAAAAAGGGAAATTGGATTTTTAAATCATATATCAGATAATGAAGAAACAGTGACATGGACACAAATAAAGTCAATACATATAAAACGAGAATGAGGTCAATTACATTGTTTTTCATGTTTATTTCTTTGTGGAGCAACATAATGACGACGATAAATAAAGTAGGAAACATAATCAGGGGCTGGCAGGGGACAACTCAGCAAACACTATTCAACACAGAGCATCCTCTCTCCATAAACCACCTCTTTGAGACCGAGTTCTTTCTTTCTTTTTCTTTTTTTTTTTTTACCTGTATGAGGGGTATGTCCTTTGGAAGTCTCTTTTTGACATCCTCCAACCACTGTAGTGGCTCTCTGAGCGGGGAGAAATCTGTCACCACTGCCCCCAGGCTGCGGTCAGACACAAAGCCAGGGAGAACTTCCCCCACTGAACCATGGAGCAAGTGGAACTGGATGTCTAAGGCTTTACATTCCTGTTTAATAAAAGATAGAACAAAAAAGTTAAGCCTCATACAGTGTGTTTTGGCTTTAACAATGTGGACCAGATACCACTTAAAGTACCAGATCTTTCTGCAATGTCTTTGACTTGATCATGTAATGGCCCCATTCTTCTCCTGTAACACATCTAATATTACATATGCCACCCGTAGACTTTGTGAATGTTCTATTGATTGATTTTTAAATTAGTTATTACTCATTTAACTACAGATGCAACAATTTTCATATTCCATTATTCAAATAAATACCTTGTTCAAGTACCCAATTAAATGTCTCTTCAATTAAACTTCAGAATAAATTGAAAAATCCCTGTCACCATTTCCCAAAGTCAGGGCTACATCTTTAAATTGCTTATTTTGTGTGGCCAAGAACATAAAAACCCATGGATATTTGATTTGTAATCATATAAACAAAAACAACCTGAGAATATTGAGCTTTTTTGCTTGATAACAGACGCAAACAATTAATAGATTTTCAACTTTTTTACTGATTAAGTTTCTGCCAATTGGTGAATGAAATAACTGAGTAATTGTTTTAGCTCTACATTTAAAACTAAATGGTAAATGGCCATCTCGATCTTAAAACTAAAAGTGTTCATTTTATAATTATGTTGTAAAAAAATAAAAATAAAAATACAATACACTTTTGAAGAGCCTGAAATATTTCAGAGGTATTTCCTGATCGTTTGAATGTACAGGCTGTATGTTAATGTAAGACTATTCCTGTCAATCAAAGTGCACTGACCGGATTTGATTATATGGCTGTAACCAGTGCATTCAAAAGAATCATAAAGTCAGTACCTTTGCAACTTCTTTCAGACCTTTCAGCATAAAGCTGAAATGTCTCAGAGTGGACAGTTCTGATTTTGGGACAACCAGACAAACACAGACGTGCAAAGGAAGGTTTTCCTTCACAGCAAGCTGCTGCGCACGGATCAGCGCCCAGTTATCTGAGACACAGAAGAAAAACACACATATGTTGCCATTCGAGACATGAAGCCAAACAAGGTGTCTTATGGTTTTACTGCTGGATGTGTGCTTACCTTGTACTCTGTGGTCCCTTGACATCCAATACAGGACACCCTCTGAGCCCTGCTTTATCTTTTCAGTGTCAGATACAAAACGGAGGCGCTTTTTGTTTAACTTGATTTCCTTCTTCTCTGTCCTAAGCTGCTTCAACTTCTCCTGCAGCCAGCCCCCAGCTTTCTCCTCCTTCTTCTCCTCCTTCAGGGGAACCAGCTTCTGCTGCTTGGCAGAGGGCTGCTTTCCAGCAGGAGCAGATGTTGCCTTGCGTTTTCTGTCTGACATGATGGTTTCACTAGTGAATGACTTGGTGAAGAGGGAGTTGATTAGACAGGGCCTCGGATTACTGTGGATAACAAGCTTCAAGAGCCGCCTTGGTGCAGAGGAAAACGATGAGCTGCAAGAAACCACGGTGAAAATGGTGAAAAACTCATAAAAACTCTTTGAAAGACAAACATGGAAGCAGCAGACTTAATTATGAAGAGAAAACACATTTAGAGACACAAGAGTCAAACACCAAATCAGAGAAAAAAAACCCCAATAACACAACAAGCCTAGAGAAGCTCCTCGTTCAAATGACGCTTTGAAGATAACTTACCTCCTCCAAATGCAGAGCAACATACAGCGGATAAACCTGGAGTGAAGCTGCTACAGCACAACTGGGAAAAGAAATTTGACGCTGGCCGAAAGAAACGACAGAAGATATAACTATCGTTGTTGCACACGTTTGCGCGTGTCGTGTTTCCCCTTACACAACCACTTACATGAGCACCCTTGTTGGTGTTTTATAACACAGTTGGTTTGTTCAATCCTACTACGTTTCCCACAATGCAAATCGATGTATTTACAGGGCATGCGCAACGCCGTTTACGTTAGGAGGAGGTCCGTGTCTGTTGTAGCGTAGCCTCAAAAGGGACGAACAGTTAGCACGATTCGCTGCTACTATTGAGTTTCTCGTTTTACTCAGGATTGTTTGTCGTGGTTTTAAAGTATGAACAAAGGAGATCTTGCAGCAGGTCGGGGGAGAAGACCAGCCGTCCCTGATAAAGTCGACATGTCATTAGGTAAGGTCTTCCTTAGCTGTGGATAAGGTGACCAAAATAGAGTAATAGCTACTGTTTGCTAACGCTACTTACTGGTGGGTGTGAGTCAGTAGGTAGCAGCTAGCGAGCTTGCTAAATGGATTTAATTTGAGCATTCAGACGCCCTTATTTATCACTGCTCATGTGATAAATTTAACAGATGACATCATTCGGTTGAACAAAAAAGAACAACAGCTGAAAAGGAGGCAGGCCACTGTGAGCCGCCGACCAGTCAAGAAGAAAGGCCATTTAACCCAAGGAAAGGGAGTTTCACCGCGGACTGCTGGACCGGTCCAGAGAGGTGTGTCGCAGCCCTTTTCGCTAGTGTTGTTTGCTTCACCACTAACCTTTTTGCCAAACCAACTTTGTGCGTGTGTAATGGAGCTAATATTATCTCTACCAGGAGGTGGCGCACGAGGAGGCGCACCTAAATTGAGAAACAGAAGGGTCCCTCCCCTACCTGGTCGACGACGGGGTCAGGGGGTTATCACAGGACTGGCAGCCAGGAGGCCAACGGCTCTGCTCAAACGGGTCGGCACACTCAACAGAGCACCAGTTAACCAGGTAATGGAGGACATATCACAGCAGGGCATACCAGTGTCAAGCCAGTGTCAGGCCACTGATAGTAGCCAATAATATTGACCTGAAACCGCATTGTAGACTGCTAGCTATTTATGCACAGATCTTATTGTGGGATCATAACATTATTTGAATGAAATAAATAAGAACATTTTCTCAAGATGTAGGAATCATTGCTGTAAGTGTAAGATGTCTGTAGTAGTGGACAAACATGTTGAGGAACTGCATATGGAACTAGCAGCCTACTTCAAGTTACTCTGTGCAGTGTTACCACTTTTCTAAAGCAGTGTTGGAGGACCTTGTCTTTCAGTAGGCATATTATTCAGAAAGACTGTTTAGTCTCACAATATACTGGGCATAGTGTCACTGTCTCTTGAATACAACGTGTAATAGGAAAATAATTTTAAAGCTCTTAAGTCTTAGCCCTACTAGTTTAGTTGAATAACATCCTTCCCTCCTGCTGAAATGAGAGGTGTAAAAACGTGTAACTTCTTTGTTAAAAACAACAACAACAACAAAGCACTGAAAAAGTAAGTAGAGGAAAAAAGAAGAGAAGTACTACTGCAGATCAAACGCTGAATATCAAGTCTAGAGTTAAACTTTAGTCATTGTGTCTGCACTAGCTGTCAAAGAAAGATAAGAAGAGACATAAATACTTTTCAGAAAATTGTGCATCAGTATTTGTTACCTTGGTAACCAAAGCCCCTCTTGCTTGCTGAGTCTAAAAGCAGGCACACCAACAGACTGTACTCCTCCTACTTTAATGACCTGGCCCTGCCTTACCCTGTTCACATCCAGAGGCAGTTTCCTCCACATCCTGTCGCCTGGCAACAGACATCAGCAGCCGCTGTCTGGTCTCCAGGAACAGCAAACTCGTGTCGTTAGCTGCCCCTCCCATTGCCTGCTCCAGATAATCTTAGAGACTTTGCAGTTTTGTTTGCCATTACTCAAGAACTGTGAGCTTTTGATATTCAAGAATTAATGTACTCTTGGAATCTTGACAGATGTGAACTCTGAACGACCACGGCATCCTTGATTGCTTTTCTATCTTTTTCTACCAAACTTGAGGAAGTCATTGTTAAAGCTGAGTTTTTACATACTTAATGGCTTATGTCATCTCATTTTGGCATTTCATTTTTTTCTCATTCATATCAAAGTTGTCTTTTAAATTCCAAAGTGCATACAAAATTTAATCTGTCATATGTTGAAATTCAAGAAATGTATGCCAACGCCAATAATGTTGAACAGGTTTGTAACTCACTGAGCTAACCTGTGCTTTAAGAGTTTAACAAATGGGTACCTCAAGGAAGTCACTCCCATTACTTTAAGGTTTTTAGTATCATGCTTCATTGCACTTAAAAATAAGACAAATTCAGCATAGTGTATTTTTTTGCTGTTTTGTTTTCTGTGCATATAAAAGTGGCTTTATAAAGATGGGGCTGTTTTGATCACAAGTTTTAATGCTGGGTCATTAAGCTGGTAAAAGAACTTAACTTAACTTAACTTAAAAGAAACTAATTTTAACTTTTTAACTAATGCTGGACCTTGAATGTTTTGCTTGTATTGGTTGTTTTAAACAGAAACAAAAACCCAAAAGCATCTTCTCCTTCTGTGTGATTGTAGATGCGATACAGTTCTGCAAAAGCTTTGCCTTTGGTTATATCTGCAGTATATTAAAGACCCTCCACTGCACCTCCCTCTTCAGAAAACAAGACAGAAAACAAGGCCATTCATTCAACGCGCTGAAGCCCAGTACAGGAAGCCAGAGGGTCAGAGGTGGCCGTACAGGCAGCCTGATCCACAGAGAGTTCAGAATGCAACACCAGTCAGGAGACCATTTCAGCTGCGACGACGGTGAGAACACCTTATGACAACTTAAGTACAGTCTCATCGTGCACTTTTTCTAATGTATAGTTCTGTATTACTACACATAAAATTGTGGTCTAAGGACTCAATGTTGGGCTGTTTCATTTTATTGCATTTCATGACACACAAGGCTCAATTTTAAGAGGTGGCATCTAGAGAGTAGTTGGATTTCAAACGGGTATAAGGGAGTGACGACCAATCTAAATTTGCTGCTGATTGAACAGCTGTTTTTTTTTTTTCCACTCATACAGACCACTGCCACCTGTCCAGCAGACTCAGAGGGAAGCACGCCAGGCCACATTTCTTTTTCGCAGGGGACTCAAGGTACATGATATTTTTCTATGGACTTATGTGCAGTCCTAAAATATATTTGTAGACTAATGTGACTGTGTTGTGGATCGTCTGTAAGTATACGAGTTGTACCTGTTTTATGTGGGTATTTCAAGACTTAAACTTACCCCTATATCCAACTGTCAACTCAACACTGTGTTCATTCCTCGTGTCCTCTGCAGGTACAAGCCCAGGTGCAAAAGCCAAATCCTCGATCTGCTCCGGTCAGAACTCGCCAGTAAGTAGTCATAGGCTCCAGTGTCTGTTTTGGCTCAAGCCGTTAAATGGGAACCATTGTTTGCCACTTTAAGGTCAATGTCTGTTGTGTTTGTGTCATATGATATAGCATCTTTTTGTCCACCAGGTGGCGCACATCGACAACCAGCAGTGGAATCTTGACCGTCTCAATTGACAACCCCACAGCCAGGACTCAGCCTGAGTAAGTATCACTCATCACAAGCCCCGCTGGATCTTTTCACACTGGTTTTACACATAGTTAAGAAATCATTTCCATAAACAAGTTTTTTGTGGTATAATAGTATTGTGGTACCGTCTCACTCATAGATGGGATTTTACATGTTGATACAAACATCACATACAAGACACTTCCAGGTATAAAAAAAACAAAACAAAAAAAGTGCTTCCTTCACTCCTTCAAAGGCCTCCCACTGCTTGGACCCTGCATCCCCCGGCTGCCAGCTCTGCTCCCATCAAGGTGGACACGGTGGAGAAGAAAATACCAAAAGGAGTGCCTCTACAGTTTGACATCAACAGTGTTGGGAAACCGGTGAGAATGTGCTACTTTAGATTTCCTTATGGTTTTAATATACAGACGTAGGACCATTTTAACTACAAGGATTCATATTTCCACATTGTCTTTAAAGATATTGCTCAACAAAGAGTGTTAACGCGATGTTCTTGAACTTTTTCTTTCCACAGCAAACATCGATAACCTTGAACGAGCGATTCCGTATCCTGAAAGATCAGCGAACCACCATAGCACAAAGCAGTAAAGGCAGCCGATTTGTTACCGTGGGTTAGCTGGTAAAAACACAGAGACAACTAATACCCTGAAGCTCCTTTTGTCCTGCTCAGTCCCACACAGTGATCCCCACTTTTCTAATGGATGAGAACAATTGCTGACTTTATAAGCAGGAGGGAGGGCAACCGTGGGACAAATGAGTACAACGTGGACAACTGCTCGACTGTGAGAACTCGAGTGTGCAAGTGTCAATGGAAGAGTTGGTTTAAAATAAGTTCCCATTCATTGTCCATATCATTATATGCAGCTATTTGTATTGTGGATGTCCTATACTGGGAAGGAAGGAGCTTTTTTCCGCTCTTTGGACTTAGAACTGTTGACACTATTAAGAAGACTGATTGGAAGTATTTTTCAGAGAGGATTGTTATGTATTTCCTGGAGTGGCACGTATGTTCTCGATACCTTTTTTTTTTTTTTTTTGAGAATTGTTTTGTAATGTTTCTGCAAATAAATGAGTTTCTCTTTGATGGTTTGATAATTGTATGGCTTCATATCAGTCTTCAGCACACTGATGCTTAACATGTTTCGAATCTCCATCCTTATCTCATAATGACACAGTGCCATCTGCCCAGTCATCTCCCTGCTGAGTTACAGCAGTCTGGTGCTGCCATTTTTATATGAAGTACTTCACGTATGTAGAAAGTTCACTAGCACATGTTTTGCATTTGTAGCATTGTGTGATCTGTATTAATGGTATTAAACTGGTTCATTCATCAGGAGCTTCATTACAAAACAGACACGTTTTGGAATCTGAATATTGCTTTTATTTAAATACATTAAAATTTGCAATGTAACAAAACTATTGGCATATGAAATTCAAACACCATTTAAATGAACAAAACATGGCTCACTTCATTTTTCTGTGACTAGTGTCAGTAACACTAGTTTATTTTTCTCTCTGTGCCACATCATTTCCCCCATTTACACTGTTCACAGACTATCTTACAATAAGAGTGCTGAATAAAAATGAGGTAAGAAAGTGGTTTGAAGATTACAGATCATGCAGAACATGCTGAACAGCAACAAAATATTTTGTGAAAGAGGAAGTAACCAAAAAAAAAACAAAACATAAATGTGTGCATTTAAAAATAATCAATTTACACAGCTTTGCATCTTTGGTTACAAAGTAGGTTGAATGATTTCACAGCTTTTCCCCCTGGCCCCCTCAGGAAAAACAATGGAAAAAAATAAGGTAAGGAGGGGGGCATGTATGGCAATACTAATTCACTTTCAGATAAACTACCAACAGAACTGAATCTTCATCGACTGCCTTGAGCAGGTTCACGTTAATATTTGATGTCAACAGGTGAAGAGTCACCCATCAAGGCTCTTAATACTTTATACTATACAAAAATGTACATTCATACAGGATTTTGACTTGAGCTATGAATTGGCAATTGCAGCGTAAAATTTGAGTTAGTGTTAAACATTTGTCAGAATTTCATCTTGCCTACATTTTTGACAAATATAAAGCATTGCCCCTGGGACGTGCGGCCAATCTGTTGAAACACTGTAGAAGAAACGAGGAACAAGTCATTGGGCTACTGTTAAACAGCTTTCATGAAATTGTTCATTTTTGAAATTAGCAGCCCTGTAATAAATAAAACACTTAACAGTAGAACTCAAAAAGACTGATGCAAGAGTTGGACTTGATGTAAAAGTAACGGCAGCAGTGTGTCGTTCCGAAAAACAGACTCTCTCTCTCTCTCTCCCACTTCTTACTTTACAACATGAAACAGCAAGGCTAAAAATAACTCTTTACCCACTCAATTATCTCATTTAAAAAAATAATTGCTCTCTTTTTGACAATCACTCCTGTTTGTCCCTTATGCGAGGTGTACCCCTCCCTTTCCACACCCATGGTTTGAGCAGGTTTCAGGTCTGGTCGAAGGTCCTTCTTGCTCTGGCCTGGTCCAAGATTGGACATCCTTTCCAGAAGCTTGGGCCCAGCAGTCAACTCAAGACGGAAGAAAACCACCTCGACCGTCCCTGATACTCTGTCTCTACACACACACTTTCTCTCTGTCCAAGTCTCTCTGTCTCTTGATGATTGCATTAACACTGGAAAGGCCCACAGTACAGATGCATACACACTAACATTCCAACACCAAATCCACACTTGTTTGCTAACTCACCCTCTCACTCACACTCACACTCACACACACAAGCACTGTACTTTGTGGTCAAGCTGGTGGCTAAGAAGACAAAGTTTTTTTTTTTTTCTTCTTTTTAATTTCACATACACTAACTGTAATAAGTTGTAGAGAAGATGCTCTTTTTTTTCTGCCCCATGTGAAGCAGGGCAGATGCACTTCAAGCGGAGGTGACGTTGGGTTGCAGTTGTTGTTGTTGTTGTTGGCCAGGGTCAGGCTGAGGCTGAGTCTGGAACTGCTGGGGTTTAGGGTGGTGCTGGAGCTGGGGGTGTGACTGAGGCTGAGGCTGAACTTGAAGCGGTGGCTGGGCCTGTTGCTGAGGCTGGCTGAGTCCTTGCTGGGGAGGCGTGGCACCGGAGCTGGCGGCCGACTGGGCGGGCAGCTGAGACAGCTGCTCGCTGTTGGCAAGAGATTTCAACACGGCGTTCTCCCTCTCCAGCACAGAGTTCCTCTCATACAGCTCCTTGATCTGCTCTTTTAAGACCTCCACCTCTTCACGCACTGCATACATCAGATGGCTTTTCACCAGGTCCTGGAGGAGAGGAGAACATGGCATGAAATATGTTACATAGTCATCAACATGTAGGACGTAACCAAAAGCAGACCAGTCATACAGAGGCTGATTTATCACGTTCTCACATGCAGCACACAAGGACATCAGAAGGACGCTCAATGCTTAAGTTGTTCATGTATTCATTCTAGCTGTGTGTTCAGTGAGTGTTTATCTATACAAACAGCATGTAAAGACCCATGGTTATTATAAACATGAAAATAAGTCAAGACAGAGGAACTTCTTCTAGGAATAAAAGAAAGAAAGGTCCAAACCCAAATGACTTCAATTCAGCAACATAATACAGTATATGAGTATGGATTATGTTCCCTGATATTGCTCCTTCCATGTTATTGAATGACTACTTCATACAGTTTAAATTAAAAAGTGAGACAAAGTTTTACTCAGAGAAATGTACAATCAGTGGTAAATGGATTACTCACCATAGCCTGTTCAATTTTATTATCAATGGCAACAACATTGGTTCCAGAGGCACTGTAAAAAGAAAAAAAAGAAAGAAAGAAAAAAGAAAGATAAAGTCATGTCAGAATTAATCACGTCATTTTCAGGATCCAAACTTACTGGAGAGAGATTTCTCAGCTCAAAGCCCCTTTTTTCTGCTTTCTTGTCTTTCCCCCCAACACATGGTAAAAACACAAAAATACTGGAACAACAATCTAAATGAATAAAATAAAAAGCCCGAATCTGGGAAAAACAGATGAGATACTGGTGCTCAATGATCAAACCGCTGGCCCTCAGCTCACCACAGGAATCTAAGACAGATCATATAAAATGACCTGTCAACACTCTTGGTCATACCATTTACATCTTAACTCCAATCTAGGTCAGTTCCCTGAGTTCACAGGAAGAAAGAGAGAGGTTTCGCTGCAGGCAACACAATAGGTCCAAGTTACTGCAAATAACGCATCATTTTGTGACGCTGCCATATTTAGAGTAGGTGTGGTAATGTCTCCAATGACTGAGCAGTCCCAACGGGTAGAAACAGGCATATACAACACTGGGGTCAATACCCACATATTCTTCCAGTCTATAACTAAGGTGACCCCGTTTCGTTGGTCCGACTCTTAACTGCGTCACAAAGTAGTTGTATTTCCGGTACTTCATAGACAGATACACAGGTACAGATCTGTGCATGCGGAGCGGAGCAGTGACCTCTTGCCGTTACCTGCGGCGTGTCCGGTAGGACAGCAGCGGGGTCGCGTGCCGGGTCGGGTCCGCGGGGCAGCACTGAGGTTTGAAGGAGAACGTGCAAGGCATGGTGCTGCTGACTGCTGCTGAAGCTACATCCGTGTCCGCGGAAAAAAGGGCCACCGGAGCGAACCGGAGGAGGTTTAATGGGGTAACAGTGACCACATTTAGAATAATGAAACGTGAACCGGCGGGTGGAGAAACCAGAGGACTGACTGGAGGCGGGGACGTGTCTGAAGTGATTTCAGGCTCCGCCCGCCACGTAGTGACCTTTAACTGTAGTAACTGTACTGAACTGTATCAGCAGGGGGAGAGCTATGGAGGCCCAGCCATGCCAAACATTCATTCATTTAACACGGTTAATCAATCCATTCAGAAATTAGCAAATAGTTGGTAGTTCCATAACAAACAGTAACATAACACTTCAATTGTATAAAATAAAATAAAAAAATCAATAAAAAAAACATTTAGAAATATATTTACATTTATTAAACTTAATGTCTTGTTAAATTAATCTTTAAAATGTGAGGGATAATAACATTGCATTACAATTTGTAACAATTTTTTCTCTTAATTACAGTGGTGATGGATCAAATCAGTTTATGCAGCTAGAGTTATTCCAGTTACTGACAAGTACCAATAACAAGACCAGCACTCTATAGCCAGTGAGTCATAGTTCTAATGAATTAGCTCTTCAACATTTGTTAATTAGCACATAGCACTTAAAGTACATGGGAATGTAAGTTTTGCAGCTATCGGGAGCACCTGGTGGCTCACCTGGTAGAGCGTGTACCAAATCCGACATGTCATTTCCTCTCTCTCTCTCTCCCTCCACAAATTTCCTGTCCCTCCCTCACTGTGGCAAAATGCCTGAAAAAATAACTTTTAAATAAGTTTAGCAGCTATTGGACAGGTATTGCAAAGTGTTGGACTTGGTGGCACTATCGGTCGAGCTCTAAAAACATAAATAAATGAATGTTTACGGCTCACCTTGTATTTTAGGCATGAAGATCAATGCCACCATGTGGTATGAAGGTGCCTCACTAGACACCAGGTTGACTATAGACTCCCCCAAGAAGAAGAGGACAAAATGTTCTGTTCCTCCACACCATCCAATTTAAGTGTGCGAGGCCAGCGGAAGCACTCAGTCGATCATTATCAGCAGACTGTATCGGTGAAGGAATGCTCCCCATACCTCTGCTGCTATCAAACACTGTCAGTCACACCGTCTGTCCTACACTACTGCTTTTGATCTCTCTGTCAGATATGACAATATCTAACATGAGCTACAAGAACAACATGTACATCACAGAATGAACGATGCCGACATGTGTTGAATAAAATACACATGGTGTCACTCATGCTACATACACACACCATTCTCTTCAAGAAATAAATTACAAACAAGAATGCACATTTCAGCAGTCAGTACTCACTCATTAGTTTCTCTTTCTCTCCCTCAGAGACCACATTATGTGACCCCCCACAAGTGGTTACATAACTATGTAAAAAAGAATAATTTTTTTTTTTTTTTTTTTTAAAAACTGCAACTTCAACTTCAAATGTGTGTTTAATTTAGACAAGGCGTCACACATAGGCCCTCCTATAGTTCTACTCCCTAACAGGAGTTTTTGACAGGCCTGTGCCCAGAGGAATCTCTCACTCTATAAACTACAGATGCTGAATAGAGTCTGTGAACTACACCCTTGTTGCTTTACCAGTGGCTNTTTTTTTTTTTTTTTTTTTTTTTTTTAAACTGCAACCTCAACTTCAAATGTGTGTTTAATTTAGACAAGGCGTCACACATAGGCCCTCCTATAGTTCTACTCCCTAACAGGAGTTTTTGACAGGCCTGTGCCCAGAGGAATCTCTCACTCTATAAACTACAGATGCTGAATAGAGTCTGTGAACTACACCCTTGTTGCTTTACCAGTGGCTTCATACAGTACAGGAGACCAAAATATTCTTCTACGAAGAACAGAATCTCAACATACTGTGCACAGTTTTTCATGCACATACTTCAGCACAGGCCTGTTATAATCTGTTGTACTAACCTACTTAAGGCCGATTCACACCTACATACTTCTAGAAAGGAGAGTGGTAACTTTGTAAATACACTGCATATGACATATTTTCTACAGATTTACACATGTTCAACTTGTTTTCAGAAACAGAAATGACATGATTTTTTTTTTTTTTTTAAAGCCAACCAGTTAGAAATAATAAGAATTAAAAGACCAACCAATCACAATAAATAAGAGATGGCAATTCAGAGTTGTATATTTGCAGTCTTATATTTTATATATTTGTAGTCTTTGTAGACTTTTGGAGAAATCGTGCTACTAAATAAATTTAAATAAATGCACAATAATTATTATTTTCAACTAATTCGGTCCAAGTGCTGTCATGGTCAGAGATAAACCAGATTAAGAATGAGTGCAGTAGTTAAGACATTATAAAAGGCAGCTGTTCTGAAGACACAAATTGTGAGAGGACTCACACAAGGCTGTTTTTGGATGTTGGCAACAAAGGCCAGACACTCCTAAGATTATAAGAGCAACAGAACAAAGTTGCCATTTTGTTGAAAAAAGTACACCTGAGGAGGGAGATTTGGGCCCAAACCTCCCACCATGTACATGACATCTAAAGTTTTTCATTACAGATTAATCCGTTGATTGTCTCAATTAATTTCTCAATCGTTTGGATATTATTAGTACTGGTATTATTGGATTGGTACAAAAAAAACACCTATTTCTAGGATGCAATTCAACATATTCATCTTGCTTGTTTTGTCTGACCAAAGACTCCAAAACCCAAAGATATTCTGTTTGCTATAATAGAAAACAAAGGAAATCAACACATAAAACCTGGAACCAGTAATTGACTAAAACAATAAATGATCAAAATTGTTGCAGAGTAAGTTTTGTTTCAGCTCTATCGACATCTAATCTTGAATGATACTGCGTTGGAGCTCCGTGTCCTAATGACTTCGAATTACCTCACTGCCATGATATATTTTCTCTTGCGGTTTTCCAACAGCTGGCTTCAGTGGAGGCCACAATGAGATGAGATGAAACAAGAGAATAAAAGGAGAGGAAACACCCCTGTACTGTCAGTGTCAGGACATGTGACCGGCCAGTGATACATTTGTAACTACGGAGACTGGAAATCATCAATGCAAAATAATACTTCTCAAAGAGTCAAGACAAATTTTCACCTGGAGCCAAGGCTTGGATGATAAACTGTAGTTCTGCATCCTGGAGTCAAAGTGGGTAAGATGATTTTGTTAAATCATGATGTTTTGAGTGGCTACTCTTTACTTTAGCTGCAAAATGTACAAGTTACACTGAAGCAAGCAGGAACAACAATCAAGTCAAAACCATATTAGGACAACATCTGGTATTCAAAATAGGACTTCCAAGAACAACTGGCACTGGGGGGGGGATTTTGCAAACCACATCATGAGTGAGTAGTGTTTTGGAGCTCAATAGAACGAGTGTGCCTGGCTCCTGACACACATGATCTTGTTTAAGCCTCTAGAGCTCAAGTCGAAGTCAAGAACTTGTTTGAGCGCCTGACTTCAAAACAAAACTGTTGAACAGATGATAAAGTCAACTGCTCTGTTTTAGCAGTGTTACAAAGCAAACACTATATATCTACTGATGTAAGTAAGGTCAAGACCCACAGGCCTAAGGACTGGGCTGAGAAGAAACAGACTGCTAATGAGGGCTTGAACTTACTCTTTCTCTGATTATGCAACCAGCACTTCTGTAAACTTCACCCTCTACATTAAAAGGACTGACGTTTATAAGCTCCGGGTAGAGTTTGGCATTTCCCATACAGTGTTAGCAGTAAAATAGGAATGTCAATGAAAAGTCCATTAGAGGCAGAAAAGTTTACTCTCACACAGTGTGGGCAAGCGGAGCAGTGAGGGTGAATAACTCATCTGAGCATCGAATAGTTGTCATTCCTTGCCTCTGGCAGAACTGCTGGCATGTTCAAGAACAGTAGATTTCCTTCAGCAACACAGGAAGAACAAAGCTAAGTCTATTTAATTCGACCTGAGACATGATGAAACAAGTTCAGAGCTTAAGAGGGAGGGCCTGATCATATGCCCAAGAATGACAGGTGCACAAGTCAGTCATACCAAGACATCTGAGATGCACAGATATCTCTCAAGTGTAAACTCGGGTCTTATCGTTCTACCTGGGCATGTGGCTTTGCATTGCATAAGTGCAGTAAAATCTACACTGAAAGTATACGGAGCATATCATCTTCACACTCAGATGAGCATAAATCTACTTTCATTTCATCCAAGACCTGACAACTTCCACTGTCTATGTTACATTATGCAGCTGTGCATGCAGAAAGGCACAGGCAGTTACCCAGCAGTGACTAAAATGAGGAAGTGCTAAAATTACAACCAAGAAAGCATCAAAACTCTCTGTGGGCATGACTTGGGCATAATCAGGGAGCAGTATACATTATTAATTGAGACGGTCTAATAGGTTCTTTGGATCTGTGCGAACAAGATATAAGAAAATCTATGTGAAGCAATTGATAACAGTGTGGTCATAGCAAGTATGGCGGAAAAGATAATGGACGAAATGGGATCCAAAGCAAAAATAATGGGGTTTTTAATGTTTTCTGTTGCTGATCTACTTACAATGATAGTCTGTGCAAATCTTGTTTGTTTAGTCTAGCCTACATTTTGAACATTTAGAGATTTCTATTTTGAGATTAAAAATTTTGTCAATCTGTGGCTCAACTGAAGTTGAAATTTTGGCAAATACACTTACTGGCTTTCTTGCCAAAAGTTAGATGAGAAGATTGATGCCACTCAAGTCTGTACACTAAATATGAAGCTAGCACTAGCATTTGGCTAAAAATAAGAAAGACTTGAAATAGGCAGAAACAGCTAGCTGGGCTCTGTCTAAAGATAACAAAATACACATGCCAGCACCTCTAAAGCTCACTAATGATCACTTTATATCTCATTTGTTTAATCTTTGTCTAAAAACAGAAGTGCAGAAACCACAATTCAACTACAGTTATATATCATGTACTGAACTATTTCTTGGTCGGGTGCAATAACTTCCTGGAGTCTCCACTAGTTGCATATAAAATAAAAGTGTAAACATAAGTATGGTCCTAGTACTGCGCACCTGCAGAGCTTGGAGACTTGAATATCGGGTAAACCTGTTAAAAAAAGGTGATTGACTCCTTTTACACTGCCAGACGAGTTTGCCTTTTTGTTTGGACAGAGAGGACACAGACAACTGCAGAGAGCAATGTCATCATGCACTTACAGAGCGCACACGCACGCACGCACGCACGCACACACACACAGGAGAAAGAGTGAGCTGCTGTGCAGATTCGTAAAATGGACCCATTGTATCTTACCCCCGGGGTTGGTGCTCCTGCAAGTGTCAGAGCCTCCGTGTGAGACGCTTTGATTGGTGATTGCATGTTTTTTAAACTTATTTCAGGGTGGCACCTTCCTCTTTCATCCACAGTGTAGCTGCAGTGTTTCTGGTTTAACAGCACTGTGCTGGGATGGTTACAGGTCTGTTTACAGTGTTTGTGTGCTCTGGAAGACGTCACAGCAGGAAAAGGGGAGAAAATTAGCGCGTTCACCCCAGTGTTGTGTTAATGTCACTGCCGATCGGAGCCGATAAATACCAGTGACTACTGCGAGTCATTTGACCCGGGAGTGAATGCCCATTGTATCCTTTCCCATTTGACGACAAAAGCCAGATGTTAGAGGGTCTCATCGGGTTTTTGATCAGTGTGGAAAAGGGGCTTTAGGGAGGTATAGATGAGAAGGGAACATTGATTAAATGTAGGTTTTCTTCATATACATACTTTCCTATACATGTCATTTCCTCAACATTGCAGGAGAGGTGCTGTTATATAGCTGACCATCACGGAGCGGTGTCATCAAGAACATCATTTCCATGTAGGGCCTTATGAACAACTACATTATAGTAAAAATGATCTGTAGGAAATTTAAAGTCAGTGTCTTCTTTTCTCAAAATGTCACATATGCTAAAGCACATTTTCACTTTCACGTCTTCTGACTTCATCTTTTTGCTTCAGGCATGATCCCAAATAAACTTGAATAAAATAGACTTATTAAGGGTCAAGACCAAAGGTCATCTCCAAGATCTACCAAACACAGAGATTTAAACAAAGCCCTGATTATCTTTGCTGCCATGGAAACAAAAGCAGCCCTTGGCAGATCAGTGTATCCACAACAGCATAAAAAAAAAAAAAAAAAAAAGTGAATCATGGGGCTCATATCAGCACTATTTGTGCCATCTTACTATATTGGTGAGCGGAATTGGGCAAATTGAACAGGCAAAACATTTAGAGTGAGTAAAAGTAAAACAGATATTGTGTCTTGAAGTAATAACACAACATCTTGGTTTAGATAATGCCATCTCAATATAGATTTACCTGTTAACTGCTGAAGTGGCGTGTGTTAAGTGTGTGCGTGTGTTCTCAGCGGCTGGTGATGGTGTGTCAGCTGTATATTTCTCTAAAAACAGTTTCATTTCCTGTCACTCAAATACGGTTTTTTGTGCTTCCCTTTTCACCTTTGTAAAACACATTATTTATCTATGGTCAGCTCTTTTGAATGCACTTTCTCATAATACAGCAACAGGGTGGGAGCTTTTCTATGTCAGTAAGTGTCTGTATGATTTCACATACTACAGTGACTTAACTTTAAAATGTAACCAAATAATAGTGGTTTGACAGGAACTCAGTAACTCAGTGGGGAGAGTGATGCAGGAGAAACATCACTAGAAGGAGCCCTGTACTTAAAGCGACATGAGCTATCACATGACCAGACATTGCATGAATGATACAATTATGATCAAAAGTGCCTGTTCAAAATGTCTATTGGTATGAAGCGCTACTTCCTGCTTCAACTTTGATCATGTCGCTTGTGCTTTTCTTACGTTTAACTTTGTTTCAAGTTTTACTAGGCAAAGACCAGTTGGGATGGGCACTTTGGGCACGTTCTTTGTTTTCTCTTCTAAATAAGGTTAGATTAGATAATTGAATTAAGAGCTGAAACGGGTAATGACTTAATGAGTAGATAAGTCGATCGACAGAAAATTAATTATATGATTGCTTGAGTCGTTTATCAGTCAAAAACTCCACTCATTCCCTGCTTCTATTTTTATGTAATACCCTAATTGATACTGGATTTTTTAGGCTGATATTGATTTCATTATTTGAGAATTTGAACTTTCCAATAACGATATATCAGCCAATAGTCGTTTTTTTAAATGTAAACACCTGATATATGCAAACAATTTTTATAAAGATTCCTTTGATTTTCTTTTTTAAACTGGGACCCAGATATTTACTGTTGAAAAATCAACTTGTCAGTTCTCTTTGGAAGACACACACAACTTTGTAATGGAGAAACTAGGTGCGTTTCCATCAACCTGTTTCCATGCACATCTTCAAAGTGCGATGGAAACAGACTGAAGGTTCTGCTCCACTGGAGAGACAGAAAAATAGCAGCAGACAAAAATATGAGATCTGTGTGAAGACTATAACCATCCTCACATTAATGCATGAAACAAACATAATTCTCATATTTCCAACACGTTTTCTACATTGTTTTTCACCATTTGAGTTTTGACAAGCACGCATTTAATATGTCATCTTGTTGCACCACCCTCTTGCTGTGCATGGCTTCATGGCATCGACTGGAGAATAAGTTCCACCAGCTGTTTGACTCGATGAACCGAATCCTATCTCATATCAGTACATATTTATTTGCATTTTCTTTTGATTTTCTTAAAATTCAGTTAAAATCTTCTGTACTGATATATCTGTAATTAGCTAATATCAGTCAATATATCGGCCTTAGGGACTTATTAGACTAACCCCGTTTTATATCACTGTAAACTGAGTATCTTTGGGTTTAGAACTGTTGGTCGATTAAAACAAGACATTGAAAAATTAGAAAACTGTGATGGACATTTTTTGAAAATTTCTGACATTTTATAGACAAAATGATTTGTCAATCCTCCAGGAGGAACTATAACACATTGCTGTGTAGAGCAACACCTACTTTGGACTATTTTTCTTAGCTTGCAGCCACTGCGACCCAGCCCCCGGATAATCAGTAGAAAATGGATGGATGATTGATCAATTAATTCATAAAATATTCATCAGATTAACTGATGATGATAATTATTAGCTGCTCTAGGTGGGTTAAACTTGTTAACAATATCTTTAACTTTCAAACCAGACTTTTGAAGTGACACAAACAGTATATATTGTTACAGAAAGAGGGTCAAAGAAAACATCTATTGGCCAATCCTGTGTTTGCTGCCAGGCTTTGTTTCCAAACTCAGTCCATGCACGTGGAGAAAGCAAAGCTCACTGCTACTGAACACGGCACACATGTTGTTACACTCTTGCAGGCCTGTCCAGTCCAATCCAGTATAGTACGGTACCTATCACTGTGGGCCTTTGAGTCCCTTAATCTGCTGCCAGACTGGAAGGCCTGGTAGAAAGCCTTGGAGGGGTTCCTGTGTCACATTCAGGGAAGAGAGAGAAGAGACAGAGATAGGGAAGAGTTGAAACAGTGAAAGCAGACTAAAGTTCCTAGAAATGTTTCCTCACGCAACTTCTTTCCACCTCAGAGAACACCTTCGCTTGTGTTGTGTGGTTAACTTGGCTGGAGAAAAGGCTCTTAGCTTTCACTATAACATTTGGGACATTCAAACAGAGCAAAGCAAAGGGGCTGGGGAAAGGGAGACTTGACCTAAACACAGGAATGTATGTTCAAAGGTGGGGACAGCTTCATAAACTTTAAGGGCCTCCCGCAGGCCATTCACCTACAGTATGCTGGCCATCACTCATGCTTAGGTTGTTTTCCTCACAACTAAACACACAGTATGAAAAAGAAAAAAGCCATAGCCTCCAGTTTTCAGCGAGAAACTCGTTAGCTCTTTGTAGTTGTTGACATTTCTTGACTCTTTTGGTTCAATTAACGTCACGTTATAGAATTTAACATTACCTCCTATATTCCTGCTGGTGATTAACTACAAGTACATGGTGTTCTACGCCGAGGGATGTAAGTCGGGAAGGGGAAAGGAAACCCCCCGCTCTGACCCCTACACACACACACTCATTTTATCTGCTCCCAGCTCGTGCCTTTCATAACTAACCGCTTCTCTCCCACGTTCACACAAATGTACATGCACACTGACATGAGCATATGCACACAGAGGAGCAAGCCAACGCAGGCAGCCACACACACACACACACACACACACACACACACACACACACACACACACACACACACACAGGGGAAGTTGATTTACAGCTTGTGTGTGAATATTATAGCAGCCAAGGCTCTTTTCCTAGAAATCTTTGGCACAAACTCGCTTTGTCACATTACCTCATGACTAAACACTCTCACAAACCTCCTCCCATGCCTCCTGCTTCATTTTACTTTGCAGGCAACAGCGCAAGAAAAACCTCCGCACACGCGTGGCAAGCGCACACCTCCACAGAAAACCTCCCTTTCTCACAGAGACTGGAACTCAGAGCAGTGTACAACCGAGCTATCAGCTGAGATTGTCGAGGTCAGATGACTTGGAGTCCAGAAACCTCTTCATGTATGAGGTAAGAACTGGAGGAGTCATCATTCCCTGTTTTCAAGTAGCAAACACTCAGCTCTCAATGGCTCTCTTTGTGAGTCTAAAATGTAACATGTCAATATCCATTTATGAAAGCGCCTCTTTGTAAACAGAATAGTCAGTGTGTTTCAGCAGTGCTGAAAAGTGCCATCTACCCCAAAAACCCCAGAGTCTGGAGGGTGAGGAGGAAAGAAAGAGGAAACACATAACCCAGGAGAAAAGTGCAAATAAGAAAAACCCCCTTTTCTTTTTATAAACCGCTCTCTCGAAGCACATAAACTATCTTGACACAAAAACCATGGCTGCACATGCTCAGGCTTTACCCGATGCTGCCCCTAAGCAAACGTATGACCTGGCAGCAGACAAAAATAACCTTTTGGTGCATTTTTGCTGGTTCCTGTCACACATCTTCTCGCAGCATGACACATGGTTTTTCCTTCAGTGTGCCTGTGCTACAAACCAGTGGCCGTGTCAAAGGTTCAGTTTCACGATGCTGAACTTCTTAATAACCTTGCACACTCATTGAGCATGTGAAAGCCCACTGTTGCCAAAAGGAAGTGCAAGAATAGAAAAGAAAAGGGTACAAAGAGGAAAATACACAGAAAACAAAATGTGTCAAAATACATTTTTAATTCTGTGTTAAGGTGTTGTGGAGGCGTCATGCAGACATCCCACCAAAGCTGTGACTTCAAAACTTAACTACTGCTTGTTGCTATGCAAGCAACAGAGATACCACCTAAAAACCACAACTATCATGATTGGCCGACTTGGGCCGCTTGTGTAGGTTTCCAGTCGTCGACAGTGAGCTTCCATTTCAAGTGCACACCCTCTCATTCTACTCTGCTTTCGTGTGTTGGGGCTGTTGGTACAGGAATGAGGGCTGAGGGGTAACCAACAAAGTGGGGTTGGCAGCAGACTGACAGGTAGAGTAATCGGTTGGCAGGGGGGGGTGCCGAGGGAAAAAGGGAGAGGCTGAAAGAGCGCGTTGAAAACTCTTACTGTTGGTGCGCATGACGCTTCAGGTTCTCAGCACCATCCATCCATCTGCCACAGAGCAGAAGTAGGTCAAAATTATTTAGATTTCAGCTGCCCTGTGGGAGTTTCTTTCAGCAGGTTATGGGTTGTAGGCGAGGGAGATGGAGGACAGGGAGCACCTTGAGCCACTGCATGATTACAGCATAGCCACTGGAGGAGATTAGCCTAGATTAGTGCAGGGGACCCAGGATCTTTACCCCCATGACGACCCCCGGAGCCTAATTCAACTTTTTGATCCTGGGCTATACTTCCCCTAAAAAGTCGCTTTTTCCAGGGCGTTTACAGGGTGCACGGTTTAAACTGGCAAACACAAGCTATTTTATTGTGTACAGAATGCCATCAGGTTAAAAGCAAGCACTGTTTCTTGTATCAAAATATAAACACCAGAAATGTTTTTTTCTTTTGTTTTTTTTAACTGAAACAAGTTATACAGTCAACTTCCCCAAACTAAAAAACTAGAGTGAGAAGGGGAGAAACTGGGAAAACCATACAGGAATTGAGATAAACTAAAGTGAAACTTAGACTCCATTTGTCAATTCTTTCTTTGTCGTGATGAATTAAAGGGGAACTCCAACACTTTCACACATCAACGTCCGTTTACAGGTGTTGGGGAATACTTCTGCACATGTAAAACAAGTTGTATAAGGCCTTTTGTTGGCGCAGAGGGAGCGGCGTGGAGTGTCGGTTGGCGCTGAAGACTACAAATATGAAAATGAAAAAAATAATCTGGGCATGTGGAGTTAGAAAAAAGTGAGTTTACCAGACCTCATATATGCTTGAGGCTCCTGGCTACTTTAGCTACTGCTAGCATAATACACACCAAATCTCCAACCTGACTGTTGACTACTCAGTTGCATTATGGGTAATGCAGATGCCAGGTTTAGACAAAGAAGAAGCAAGTGTGGAATGAAAGAAAGACAATATCTCTGTTCCTTTTTTTTTTTCCTTTCACTGTCCATCGTGAGTCAAAGTGTTAAACTAGTGCAACGTTAAATCAGTGAAGAAGTCAGAGAAGAAAAAAAAATTGAAATGGACATCTTGACGTTCTGTTTTCAACCTCCCTTTGCAACAATGATTCAAAAATCCTGGCGGTTTATAAAGCAAGACACAGACTAATCCCTCTGTTGGCTCATCACAAGCAAAAATGATGTCTTAAACCAAGCAGTTGCTTTTTAATCTGTCGTTGTTATTTGTCCAATTTGCCTAATCGCTGCACTACTTGAGATGCCAGGAGTTTTGGTCCCTGAGTTTAGACGCTGTGATTATTTGGTTTAAGGGCATACAAGTCTCCAAACATGCCCATGCAAATAACAGGATTTATCTTTGGATTACTGTAAGAAGAATTGTAAGTATTGTTAGAAATTTAAACTGTAATAACCTCTGTAACATTATTTTTTTATTCTATAAGATTTTATAGAGTAGTCAATTAATTAATGAAATAAATTAATTAGTCAGAAATTATAAGAACAAGCTGGTGAAAAGCCAAAAGTACAAAACAGCTGAGAAGTGTGTCCTTCAAGTCCCAGAGGTACCACTTTCCAAAATCAACATAACAAAGATATTCTCAGCTAAGCTCATATACAGCACAGTACACCACCCCACACCCCTCTTGGACTGAGATGGTGACGTTCTTCTGCTTGACAGAACAATGGTGGGCCTCCATACCTGGGGTGGAGGTGATGACTGAAGCGAAGCCTACCGACAATACATCTTTCTTTTTAAAATAGCTTTAGGGTTGAGAGAAGGCCGGCGTCACAGAGGAGGAACAACTTGACTTGTGTACACAAAAACACATACCACACACAGTTAGTGGTTAAAGAGTTCAGGGCAGGAGCAGAAGATTACTTACTACACTATTGGTAAATGCAGTGACAGTCAACTATATTACATCTGCAGAGATCTTAGATCTGGTACAATTACAGCACTAATGGTGGCAGCCAGGTTTAGAACTGTGATTACTATTGAGGGCAAAGATATTCAACAAAAAAATGTGTGTGCTTCTACCTCTGTGAGGCACTGTGAGGATAAAATGTGCCCACAAAATGTCATATGATATGACCAGTGAGCCCCAGTGCGGAAGCAGGGAATGAGCTAAGGAATATTAAATGAATAGAAGGTGGAGAGCAGTGTGAGGGACTGACTGAAAACAGGATACGGCAGTAAAGCAGAGGTCACAGAGGAGGGAAAAACCCTGCGGTACATGTTGTCTCTCTGTGTGTGTCTCTCTCTCTCTCACATACGCCTACACAATTCCACCTTGACTTAAAATTAAGAAGCTGTTAGTGTCTGTGGTGAATCTATCCAAAAGTATTGCCTGACCATGCGACTCTCCTCAGTGAGCAACCCTCCACCCCCATCTTATATAGCTGTGCACACATACATAAGCACATGCTGAGACACACCCCTCATCCACCCACATAGAGACAGTCTCTCAATTCACAGTGGCATACCTGCTGCACTACATTGCAGACCTGAACTCCCCTCCACTTCTCCTACCTCTTAAGAAGTATGATTTTACATAAGCTCCCATTATGTACAATAAACCACAATAAACCATACCTCCCCAGCATGATTTAAATTCCACACAGACTGCAGATGCAATACATTTATGCAAATGATCCTGCAAAACAGAAGCAACTCCTTAGTGAGTACAATAAAGACATTATGACAATCCACCAATATTATTTTACGCCTACAGTTGTTGAAGCAATCTGGGAAACATTAAGCTGAGCAAATAATAGTCTAAGATTGAGAAAAACATCTTCAATCTTCGATCTTTATCTACTTTTTCTTTAATTACTTGCAGGGAAAACTGCTGGTTGGAGGAAGATAGGGACAGAAATTAGGGCCTACCAAATGGCCAAGTTGTGCAATGTGTGTTAAGTCTCCAACCCTCTTAAATATGGAGTCAATAGTGTGTATAAGAGTGGGTGCATTCGTGTACATATAATATCTTTCTGTGTTGTGCAGATTGTAGATATCAGCTACTGAAGTAGTCCTCTTGAGGAGAAAATGGAAGTGTTTTTTTGTGTGGTGTGTGGGGCAGCAAGAGACAAAATAAACAGTGCAGTGTAAATGTAGAAATTAAGCAAGAGACAAAAAAAGCTGTCGAGAGGGAGGGGGGGGGGGGGTATTGAGCATAGCTAAAATGCCTGCTGAGTTTCACTCTGCAGTTTCCTCCACCTCTTCTGAGCACACCACAGTTGCTGCTGCAAAAGAATGTCATTCAGCACTTCATCTGTACACGAACAACTGTCATGCCATGTCTGTCAGTCACTCAATGGGGTAGTAGGTACAAAGCACTGACTGCACTGATGCTGCACCAGTGCAAAAAAAAAAAAACAAAACAACAAAAAAACAAATACTATGAAAACAACACCAGCTGAACACTCCAGTCAGCTAGGGCTCTGAGTGACTTACACAGGGAGTGTGAATGGCTACTATACATTAGGGTATGTGTTTAACCACGTCCAAAGGCCATAAACTATGTACAGTAATTTAACCTATGCTTGCATTGCAAAAGAAAAGGGTCACAACGTGACAACAAGCACAGTTGGCTGACACACCCCACTGTCAGGTCTCTTATCGGCATAATGGGGGCACAGTGGAAAGACTACTGCTCAATGTCTGATAGTGCTTGGCTGTCGTAAGAGACCCCTGCTCTTATCAGCCTGGGAGCCGGGTCTTCTCACAAGCAATACATAGGTACTATGAAAAAAATGAATGAAAGAATGAATGAATGAATGAATGAATAAATAAATAAATAAATAAATAGAAATATCACGGATCATTGTCACACACCTAAATAATGTTTTAAATGGCACAACTCTCATAAAAGTATGCCTCAACTAATTTGGCCTGTTATTACAAATGAATTAAGCAATCACATTAGGAGTATGTGATTTAACAAAAGCTTAAATTGTGTGCTCCAAGAGCATCAATAATAACAATAAAACAATAATAATAATAATAATAATAATAATAATAATAATAATAATAAATACTGTCAAAATAAAAACTTTGGCATTTTTTAAGGAACAAAATAACTTTTCCAAAGACTAAGAGGCACACCTCCCTGGGATGAGCGCAGAAGGAGAGATGTGAAATGCCTCTGCCTTTAAACAGAGATCCTGCAAGATTGCCGCTAAGAAGACCCTTCATTATGCCAGCTTTGCTTGTGTACACTGAACCAAACAAACCTGGCATACAGCTGCCCCGGATCACATGCCGAGTTTAGACCAAAGATTCACCTGGAGACGAAACAGTTTGAAACAATCAGAGAAAAGTTGTAGTGGTGTAAATTGCCTGCAACTCAGCTTGTCCAGTCACCAGGGATGGTTTTCAAAAGGCACACAATCTGTTTCAACAGCCAATCAGCTCGTAGCTAACTCTGCTGGTCAAGTAAGTTACAAATGGTCAGCTGGTCAAATTTGGCTTTACTAAAGGTGCAACATTGCTGCGTAAAAGGGGATAAAGAAACTATGTGAGGTGAATAGGACAAGTGCATGCTGGTGTTCTAAAAACAATAAAATGTTCATTATTGAATTTAGCCTGTTGACTTACCTACTTATCAACAATTTAATGTCAACAATTTTGATACACAGTTCAACTTGCCTGAAAATCATGATGTTTTCTTTGGTTTAAAGGCAAACCAGTGATTTTTTTCTATACATCCATGGATACACTGCAAGCAGAAAATGCTATGCTAATAACTAATTTGGCATACTTTCAATGGTGCCAGTTTATCAAAGCGTAAACAAATATGTGCCAAGAAAAAAAATAGTGTAACTCACTTAATTCGCAGCAATTTTAAACTTCCCGTTTATATCCCCAAAGCATTATGTGAACAGTAGTTCTACAACTTGATTATCTCCCAAAAAGAAGTAAGACAAATAATAATAATAGAAGTGACAAATTCATTAGTATTAATTGTTCATGGGGGCTCAGTTGTCTCAAATTTTGTCTAAAGTGTCAAAGTTGCACATGACAAGCTGAGACAAACCTAAATACTGTTTAAATACATGTGAAGAAAAGTAGTGCCAGTGTTCTGCAGTCTGCGTATCTAGTCTGGTCTACATCCTGGTATATCTTTGAGACTGTAAATGGAAACCACTGAGAGATTTCAGGCACTGTATCATTTCCGCTCATGAGTGCCATCTGCTACAAGTGAAACAAAGAGCTAAAACTGGAATTGAGAAAACTTTTCTCAAATGTCCCAACACCTAACTGACAACGACATAATGACGAGTCACATGTACACATCTGTATAGTTATATCTTTCCATTTACATACAGAATACAACAACAATCAGAAATATTAACTTCTTTTTTTTTTTAAAAATGCCCAATTTTAGAACCTCTACCATGTCTGCTAATCAGAAGTTTTTTCAGCCAGTCCTCTAAAATCCTGTTCACACTTTCTTGAGGGGAGCCTGATGGGGCTGCAAGTAGAAACCATGATATCATAAAAGTGGCAACACAAAATCAAACACTCTCCATTATGTTTGTATTACAAAGTCTTTCCCGAAGCAGGAACTAACTTATTGAAAGGTCAGGCATGCAGCACATTCACAGAGTGGCCATGAGTGGCCTCAGGCTAATAGAAAGCAGAGCGAACCCTGACAGTAGTGGATTGTTAAAGTGGGAGAACAACAAGGTTGGAATCATTAGACCTGCGACAAAATGTTTCCACACACATAACACAAATACACACCCTTACATGCAAGAAATCACAATGTTACACAAGTCATGTGTATGTTTAACAAGTTGTTGCCTGTGCTAGGGAAGCCATGGGTGTTTTTCCTCAAGTGTGCTACACTCCACTTACTTCTTTAGCCACTAATGAGAAACAACAAATATTATATATCCTTCTTGTGAGCCTCACTCTTCCTTCTCTCCATATGTCCCGGAAACAAAGGGGGAAATGCTGTCCATCTGAAAAGTTCAATGACCAACACTAAAACAGTCATCGCCTTGGCTTTGGCTTTCCACCTTCTTGTGATCACAGCAATCGGCCGCACAGCTGTACACTGAAATATGCCCTTCCTTAAACTGTCTACATGTGAATGTTCAAATTGTGTGTACTGTCGATAACACATACATACAGGCATTGAGATGCAGAGATGATACTTTTCTAACACTTAATATTTAAGACCTAGAAACTAATTACCTGTCCTCCTCCCCGTCGACAGGTATGTGGATTCCAAACAGGCTGTTGACAGCTGGAGTTGTGAGCTGCAGGCTCTCAGGCATGAGGGGCTTCACCGGTTCCTTCCCAGAGACAACAGGAGACTGTGCGTTGACGAGACCCTCCAACTTCCTTCCAGCACCACCCTCCACCTGTCCAAATCCAATTACTGGGAAGCCCTGCACCCCCAAAGCCACCGGAGTCTTGCTGTGGGGTATCTGACCCAGAGGCAAACTGGAAGCTGTCACATTTGGCAAGGCTGTACTGGAGGCACTGGGCACGGCAGTGGGCACAGTGGTGGGAACACTGGAGCTAACTGCGATGGCAGGCACATTTTGTACACCGGACGATGTAGGGTGGAGGCCGTGGGGTTGAGGCTGTCCAGCGGCTGCATACTGGCCCACAGTCTGTTGCTGCAGAGTGGATCCACCAACCAGTATGGAGCTTCCAACACCTCCCATTCCAATAGTCTGCTGCTGCAAGAGGCCCGGAGCTGGTTGTCCAGTAGGTACAGAGCCCCCTCCTGCTCCAGAAATATCTCCAACCTGACTTGGCACAGAAACCCCTCCAGAGGTTGGAGGAATGACCGAAGCGGGTCCTTGTCCCACAGGCTGCAGCCCTGCAGAGAGGCTGGACAGCCCTGGCTGCATGGAAGCAGGCTGTTGCTGCTGATAGTACTCTGTCTGGTTCTGCATCAATCCAGATGACTGGCTGGTCAAGGGGTGGCCCATAGCAAGCTGCTGCTGCTGCTGCTGAGGAGGGTAAGGGATGGGCTGGGCTGGGGGAGGCATGATGGAGGTCTTTTGTATGTGGACACCAGATTGGGGCAAGCCATTTTGTCCAGCAGGCAGCACGCTCTGGGGAGCAGAAGGCTGTAGACCTCCCACTGTTGGCTGAGCCGGGACAGCTGTCGGCTTGCTGCTAGAGAAAGCACTGTGCGTGGCCGACCCACTAACACCCTGTTGACGGGCGCTGAAGTTTTGATGGTGAATTTGTTGCTGCTGCTGTGGTAGTGTCTCCACTGAATGCATGCGGGATGAAGAGAGAGAAGCATCCGCCATGGAGCCCAAGCCCTGACCTGAGTGTGTTGCCGGGGCAACCACAGAGCATCCTGTAAGCCCGAGCCCACTGTCTCTGTCAGCAGCAGGGTCCAGTGTTGCACTGGCGTGCCTAATGCTATCTACAGTCCTACTCACAACAGAGCCCTCAGAGTCTTTCTCATAAAACTCTGTACACGTCCACCTGCCTCTTCTGAAGGGTTCTCCAGTACCATGATCGAGTTTAATGACCCTGAAGCGTGAAGTGCAACTCACCGTGGAGGTGGCAGGAGGAGCTGAACTTGTCACTGCAGCAGGTTGGGATGTGTTTACTGACACATTGGATGGCCCAGCGCTGGTTGCTGGAGCAGGCTGTTGCTGGATTGCCCCGGGCTGAGTGATGAGGGGTAAACCAGTTGTAACGCCGATCCCCGGCGGCTGCTGGCCGCCTTGAGCTGAGCCCAACACTCCCACTTTTCGAAACTCCACAATGGGATTGCTTGACAGCGAAGACAACTGACCGGCTTGAGGTATGTGTGATGGGGCCATAACACTGATTGCCTCTGGCTCTCCAACATTATTCAGGGCTTCTTCAGATGAACTTTTGTCACACGCAGGCTCGTACTCAGCCCGCGACATGTCGTATATTTCCGATGACACGTCTTCAGTCCGTGACTCGTCTGGGTCGTCCAGACTCTCCGTGTCGTCGGTGGCACCTATAGCTGCCACCTGGGCCTGAGTCACACTTGTGATCTGAAAACAGCTCTTTTTCTTGGCCGGCATTTTCGACATATTGCCTGCCTGATTCCAAGTCCCGTATGGCTATGTTTATCCTCCGTCAAAAAAGGACGAGCTGGTTGCAGCTTTTAAAAGATTAGATCATATTAAACAGCACACTTGCATCAATTTACTTAGCCTAGCTAACTGTGTAATCAAGATGAATCTGCGCCATCCCTCTTCCTCTCTCCTGTTGCGTTTCATGAGCTCATAACGCAACGCCACACTTCGTGTCGTCTTGTCCAGCAATGCGGCTTTAGACACGGATACCAGCCGCCAGTCCGAGGATCGATCCAGAGCTTTCGGTCAGTCCGGACCGGCCTGCTAATATCCCGGTTGTGCAGTTGTCAAACGGCCGTTTTCGCACAATGTGCTGCCCAGCTGCAGGAGCTACTTTAGGCTGAGGAGGGCCCGCAGCCCTCCACTCACCGAGCTAGCTAGCAAGTCAAGCCAACTGGCTGCTGCACACTCCCCCTACGTCGGAACAAGTATGTGAGACATCTTCCCGAAAGCAGTCCTTTGTACCCTCTCACTTCACCAGCTTAAAGTCAATCGGTGGCGACACTTACTTGGTAGCAAATTGCGGCCGAGGGAGGAAAACGCTCTTAATTTTCACGCTTTAAAACAAATGAGAATCTAAACAGCGCCTACAGTTACCTCCCTCACTCAGTCACTCTTGACAAGATGGCTATGTTGTATGTAACCGCGCTGCATCGTGGGTAGGTAGGGTGCGCAACGATGTTTACGTACGAGACATTTGAGAATCCCCATTCATGCTGCCTTCATGGCACCTCCGAAAAAATCATAACTACGATGAAATTGTGTAAGTGAACATTTTCTGGGTGTCAGTCCTTTGAATCCACCGCCACTAGTGTACAGGTTTTCATCCCAATCGATCTCTATGTAGTTTAAATTCATTCTGATTATTTAGCTTCTCTGAAGTTGAAAGTACTAAAGTGATAAAAACAAAAAAGTTGAGTAATTGATTCATCAACAAAAAAATAATCGCCAACAGTTTTGATGATTGATTTTAATTAGTTCTATATCAATGTCAGTTAAATATCTTTTTTGTGCCATTGGTCTGAAAAAATAAGCCTACTGAAGATGTCATGTTGAGAGATTTTGACAGGCATTAACTATTATCTCACTACTTTTTGACTTCTTATAGACTAAATGATAAATCAATTAATAACAGATATCAACAGATGTACTGATAATTGAAATAATTGTTTGTTGCAACCCGAGCTGCTGGGCCCCTATTACCTCCATGTTCCTCACAGTCTTTCTATGCTGGAACGCTACCTGACCCCAGGTTTGATGTGTGGTAGCTGGTGGAGCTGTCATGCATTTTTTTTTTTAACATTAATGACAACAAGGCTGCACATTTTCCTTTCTCTACAGCTCAAAGGAGCTAGGATGCTCTGATTCTAAAACACAACAATATCATCAGAATACTACTTTATAGGATACATTCAATTTGGCTATTCTTTTTTTCAATGACTAGCTATTACTAAATGATTCCTTTTAACCGCAGAAGTCCAACTTTATTGGATTGCACTTGAAGGCATCAACCATTTCTTTCCCATTCCCTCCCTCTATAGGCCTTTCTGTATGCTGCAGTGTTACATATACACCGATATTAAGCAAGGGACTTGAACTTGGTCTTTGGGTTTGCAATTTATGTGATTTAATGTGGTTTTTGCATCTTAAACCAATAATATAATTTAATATTCCTACAGCTTGTCTAAATCAGTGTAAAAGAGGGTCGCTATACAATACACCCATTAAATTAAACTAGTTCAAAGTTACTTTTTCAACGTTCAGGTAGCCATGTATAGCAGTGGTGTGTAAAAACACAGCAATGCAATACTGAAGATGATGATTATTTTAGATTGCACAGTTGTTCTTTTACACTGGGCTTGAGTTTCTTTCTTGACTATTATAACAGCCAGCATATTACAGAGCAGCAATCATCAGTGATCACTACATTACTATTCTTTATCAACTGATCAAGCTGAGCAAAAATATTATAAGCATGACGTAAAAAGTAACATGTTCTGAGAGAACTGAAGGGAGGTTGATTCACAGAGCTGTGGCTTAAGGTATACAATGCAGCATACTGCTGCATTACATCTGCAGTACTATGTGAGGTGAAAATCTGAACTGTATATTATCTAAAATAGTCAAAAGACATTTTTAAAAAAGGCCTCAGGCCTTACTATGTGACAAACTTTAGCAATTATATGAGTCAATCTGCATACAATTTTACATTTATTCAAATTCTATCATTAAAAGTCAATCGAAATGCCAGTTTTATTTTTATAAAACATAAGATAAAAATATTCCTTAAATGATCCAGACGAAATACAGGTTAAAAGACACATGACAAGTCATAGCTCTGCACCAGAAATAAACCAATATGATCCAGAGTATTCACAAACCGTAGAGAACACTACCCCTGCTGGCCAATGAGTGTATTTTTCCTTTGACAGGGTATCGTGCTTCTTTTTCTTTTTTTAGTTATTTTGGATATATATATATATATATATATATATCTTAAATCTTAATCATAAAATCCATTCAAGTTATATAGTAGAAACAATGAAACATGTAGCTTTACATTTTTATAATGCAGCATTGGGTTTTTAGGGAAATTGCAGAGGTGTTACACTGGCAGAGTTTGAACACTTAACCCCCCCCCCCAGCCATTTCACACAATTAAATAGTATCGATTCAAATCAATGTGAACTATGCTGGTGTGGGAAGAAAATCATCTGGTGAAAGGTTAAGTGACATAGTAATTCATGACCCTTTATCATATGTTTTGGATCTTGGTTGCAATTTAGATTATTTATCCAATAGATTCATGGTACTTAGAGAGGAACAGAATAACAGTGGAACTTCAGGTTCAGCTTTCAGGGTACTTCACAGTCTATGCACAATGATTGGTCTAAACTACTGGCAAATTCTCTTTGGTCATGGATCACAGTAAAAATGAACGTTTGTTTTTATCACTTAATCTGCTCTGAAGAGAAGACATCATGCAACTATTTATCTTTTTAACTAATTGGGAGGTGGGCCACATACTCCTTTCAGTCTGTGGGTGGGGTAATTCAAATCTGGCATTAATGATATAACACCTTGCCAAGGTGTCTGGTTTGATCCCTGGTTATGACAAGATGAAAATGTGCTGAATGATTTATCTTGAGCAGGGCACTAAATGTTTCCAACACTTCAATGTAGCGCGAAATGAAGGGGAATATGAAATAGGACACTTTTATTTCATTCGTGTTTTCTTGATATTGAGTACGAAGTCCAACAAGGTACAATATTTTCTTTCAAAGATTATTTTTCTTTTCTTCTGGCTTCATTAAAACTCTGTATCTAGAAAGCGTTAGGTGGTAACCCTTTGCCACAAACGGGGATTGCACATTAAAGATGACTACATACATACCTAGATTTTCTGTTTTCTTCATCTTTCCTCATAATAAAATCTATACAATTTTGAGTGATATCTCATGTATCGCAAATACTTATGAATGATTTAGCAGGAGAAATGGGCCATCAGTAGCCACCAGTCAGTAACGTCTAACCATTCTAAAATACATTTTAAGTGATGATTTCATGAAAGTGAATAAATAATTTTGGAATCCACCACCAACATGGGCATGGACATGTTGTTCTCTGTATGCACTGACCGTAACTGCTGTCCTTAACCACACAAACTAAACTGCCTGACGTGACGCCCTTTGTCATGTTATTCCTACAACATGAAAACGCGTTCAATGAATGAGTGAATGAATGAATGAATGAATGACTAAATGATTCAATCAACAAATCCCCACCCGCGTCTATGTGTACCCCGGCATTCCCTCAGACAGTTGACTCTTGGCTGAGCTGATAAGTCCCTCTTTATTCCGCCGCCTGCTGCCATAAAAGCGCCGGGGAGCTCATTGTGCGGAGTGATCTGATACGGACTACACCCAGCCGCTGCCTCACTGCCCTGGCTTTCTTTGCTGCCCCAGCCTTGACGTTGGTTAACGTCGGAGTGTGGGTTAGATTGGAGACTCTAAATTCGCCTGTTGGTTTTCTTCCAATTCGGCTGTCTTTTGATTGGCAACCTCACTTCCAAAGCTGTAGGGATTTTTATATAGCATCAATTTCTTGAATATGTCTTGGCAAAGCTACGTGGAAAACCTGATGGCCGATGGCAGCTGTCAGGATAGCGCCATTGTTGGGTATACGGACGCCAAATATGTTTGGGCAGCACATGCCGGTGGTACATTCAACAATATCACGGTAAGAGTGAAAAAAAATTGGTATTTAGAGTGAACGCTTGGCTCCATTTGACAGTGTTGTTATGTATCACCCACGCAGACGCTCACCAGACTGAATAGCGCTAAAACCGTTACCTCGCACTGTCTAAATGACTAGCAAGCTAACGGTACCGTGCTAGCTTAGCGGGCTAGCTTGCTCATCGGTGGCCTGTCTCGGCTATTTCCTGCTAAGGAAACGTTGCAGGATTAGACCTGGCGTGGATCAGATAAGACTTCTCTCATTGTCGCTTGCATGTACCATAAATACATAAAGCAGTTAGTTGCCGTTGACAAGCACAAATCAAAATTTCAGGACATTGCTAAATTAACCTCTTGCTAATTTAAAACCAGTGAGTAGACGGTGTCTGATTTGAGAGAGCGTGCATGCTTTTGTGTGCACGGCCGCTTTGATTAGGAAACATTAAGCTGCTGCTGTACCGGCAGACCGTGGTCAAAAAAAGCTGTCACCGGCTGACGTTTGGTCAGTCTACGATTCCGCAGCCTTTGTCTCATATTAATACATATTAATACATTATAGAATTTGGTGGTAATGACAATGTGTGTGTTTTTTCTTTTTTTTAATTCATTGTGAGGGATTGCATTAGAGCTAACGGGTGCATAGACGTCACTTTACTTCCGCTCCTTACTGCAGGCAAAGGTTGCAAGCTGTTATTATTGCCTGGGTGCGGGATGGGATGTGTAAGGCGCCAGGAATTGTGGTACTGGTGTCAATACATTTGCAAGTTTTATTCACAAATCTCCTCTCTTATAATCAGGCTGGAATTCCTAACGTTACAGTTTTATATCCAGTGCTGGTATAGCAGTTTTACTGGTGTTTGGAATAGGGCTGCAGCTCACAATAATTTTGATAATTGATTAATCTGCTGACTATTTTCTTGAATTATCGCTTGTTATATAAATTATCACAAAACGGAGAAATATGCTCAGTTTAACAGAACAACAGTGCCAAAGCCAATTTACTGCCATAGACCAAAGAAAAAAGGCAAATCATTTCATTCATGACATTTGAGGATTTTTGTAATTGTTTGATGAATAAGTTTGCAACTAACAATAATTTTTCATTATCTATTAGGAAGAATTATACTAGTCATGTAACTGGTGATTTTTGCATATTTTTCAGTCTCAAGAAATTGATGTCCTTATTGGTAAGGACAGGGAGACCTTTTACACCAGCGGTCTCACTCTGGGCTCAAAGAAGTGTTCAGTCCTCAGAGACAGCCTCCAGGATGACGGGGACTGGACAATGGACATCAGGACAAAGAGCCAAGGAGGAGAACCTACATACAATATCTCTGTGGGAAGAGCTGGAAAAGGTAAAGGTGTAGTTTAAAAATGTTCTCTTAATCACAATTATTAAAATGCTGCTTTAATGGGGTATGACCCCATATTGTTTTACACTGTAAAATTATAACATGGGTATGAGAGTTATGTCATACAGTTTTGTGACTTAAAGAAGTGCTGATTGAAAATCATATTACCTCCTGCTTTTGATGCTTTTCAATAATCAAAATAAATGTCATACTTGTGACCCACTCATGAGCATGAGCCCTATCAAATTTATCTCCTATGCAAGTGACATTTGTGAACATAACATCTACATATAGCTTTTCTTAGTTTGATCCACATTCCAAAACCTAAAATATTAGATTTACGACAGGCAAAAAGAGCGAGTTCATACATTTCAGAACCTGCAAACATTTGGCATTTTCGCTTGAAAAACGACTTAAAACACTAAAAGGTTTATTAAAATAGTTGCAGATTAGAGCTGAAACAATTAGCTGATTTACAGAAAATTAATTTATAGATATTTTACAAGGCATGATGCTCTCAGGCAAAGTGTATAGTTGCAAACTTGTTAAGTTGAAATGACAGATTTACTTAATGGTCATTGTAATGATCATTGTAAACCTCATGTAAGCCATCGTTTGCCTAGTCCAGGCTGTTTGCCTTTGTGGTCCTTAATGTTTGACATTGCTCCAGTGTTTCTTACAAGTTGAAATTGTTGACTGTTAGGATCTGACATCTAAGACTTGATAATTGGCCACGATATGGCGTTGTATTTCAGTCTATACATTTGCCCACAGCTATCTCATCTATCTAGATATCTTCTAATCAATTCTCCCTTCATTAGGGTATGAGGAAAAAAATAAACTTCCAAATGTTTTAAGTGGGGAAACACTGATTGCAGTCAAAACCAAACTTTTCCTTTCTTTCTTCCTTCCTGTTGAGTGATTTCTTTTTTCCTTTTCTGCATGAATTCTCTGCATGTTGTGCTCCTGTGAACGGTAGTCAAAAAAGGACAAATGAAGTGTTACACAAATTTAATTTGTACCAATAAGTGCAGTGAGATGCTTCAGTCTTCACACACAACTAATGTGGAAGATAAATTGCATGTTAATTAGTTTCTTGCATGCATCTTTGTCATGTCTTGATTTAGCAGAATAAGCCAGTGCCTGCTTGAGAGCTGTACCTTCCAACAACTCCTGTTTTCTTTGTAACACCAAGTGCACTGATCTTCTTCCAGCTTATATTTATCACTTTGAAAAATGCACACAGTGATGATACTCAGCCATGTGCTATAGAGGACCAGAACTGTGTGCGAAATTGTTCACCTGTTGACTATTCCTCATTTAAGAGACACTAACAAGTAATAAATTGCAATTTCTGGACACTAATTTCTCATCATTTGATGGTCATCAGTCAAAGGTGCAGTGTCTCAGGAAATGTATGGACACTACATCATGTCAATTGGTAACATTTATGGTAGCAAAAAAAGTTAGCTCTGTATGGCACACAGTTGAATATCCCTGCACTACACACTTCTGGTGATGATGCGTATTACTGGGAATGCCTTTACTTTACCTTTTTTGCTTTTCTTAACTGTCCCTTTTCTATCTCTTCTCTTTCAGTTTTGGTTCTTGTAATGGGCAAAGAAGGGGTCCATGGAGGCGGATTGAATAAGAAGGCTTACTCAATGGCAAAATACTTGAGGGATTCAGGGTTTTAATGTTTTCAAGCTCACTTAGATAAAATTGAGGGACAAAAAGAAGAGAAAAGAAATATTGCTGTTAAGATTTCTCCTGCAAGCAGTCAAATGTCATGGAAACTTTTAATAGCAATGAAGAGTGGTAAGATACTGTGTCACCTTTGTTCCCCCCTTCATCCTGTAGGGGGGAGACTCTTCAATTTTGTTCATTTCTCTTTTTTTCCTTGTGTGCTCCAGTATTGGTTTTAGTCATGGGAAAGGAGGCGGTCCATGGTGGAAATCTTAACAAGAAAGCACATGCAATGGCTGAGTACCTGAGGAGGTCTGGATATTAAGCAACCTCTCCACCCATCCATCAACTTAGCAGCTCACTCCCACTCACTGCATTGTGTCGACACTACTTCCAGGATTAGATGGCATACAATGTAACTTCCTCCCCAGTCTACTTTTTATATACAGCCTTTTGTTTGCTAAACTCTCCCCACCCTCCTTTCTTTTTTTTTTTCTTTCTTTTTTTTTTTTTTTTTTAAAAAGGACAAAACCATCCCCACTTTAACATTGTACTTCTCATGTTTTGGCACTACAGTAATGGCATGTTCTTTGAAATGTTTAATAACCAAAAGAGTGTGTGCAAACAATTATTGCAAGTGTAATAAAAGTGTTAAACAAATTTGGACTCTCCTTGTTTAACATTCACTTAGTGACTAGCTAATATACCATGGGGAAGTACACATGTAATGGTGGTGACAGTTTGCATAGTTGTGCTTTTTTGAGCATTACTAAAATATGCCGGGGTCATTTTTTGTTAGTTTTTTATTTTAAATCAGCATGTGGGCATTTAAAAGTTGCATGCATACACCTCTTTAGCATACAAATCCCAGTCCTATCTTCTCTCTGTCCCAGTGTAATATTCCAGCCAAAACCATCTTCTCATCTGCCTCCATCTTCAAGTCTTCGGTAGCCTCCATTAAAGAAATGGCAAATTTCCTCTGACAAAGTCCTGTATGTGTGTACCGATTCGCCACCTTCGGGCATAACTTCTTTTACCCTTCATCTCATGCTTTTGCTGTCGTACCTGAATGTGGTCTTAAAAGTTAATGATGTGGTGTTGGGCTGTTTGACTGTAGTGTAAGGTCAGCATTGCTGAGGTCTCAAGATATTGTCGTGATACTTCCACACATCCTGGAGTCTCAGTGGACATTCCACCTCTGTGACGGCTCAAGACACTTGTCAGTCAGCTCCTGCTATTTGTAAATTTTGCTGTGAATCACTACACGTTATGTGAAGTTATTTTCCCCCCTTCCCTTTGGACCAATTGTCAGTATAAGAGGATTATCAGAATTACTTCAGCTTATTCTGATGGATGATTGTTGGCATCACCTGTTGACTGTAAATCATTAAGACAACTTCAGATGACTGTAAAACATTTAACTGCTTCTTTAGACTTCAACACTACTTAAACTTTTCATCACTAACTGATTTGTTGCTAACTTCATGTCCGTTAACCAATGAAATGGCAATGTCATTTTACTACAGTATGAATGCATTTTGACTGTAAACCCAGGCTGTTGGGCCTTGGAATTATTTGCCTTGTGCTTTAGTCATCAAAGGTGTATTCACAAATTGTCATAGTACGGTACTTAGAAGTATATTTAAAAGAAAAAATGATGCTGTGTACACTAAACATATTGAAAATGGTGTTGGTTGGAATAAGAACATTTGTAAGTTGTCTTGTGAAAATTTTCTGAGAATAATTGTGTATTCTGTGCCATAAAATCGATCTGATCTGTTGCTACTACAAGTTGGATTTTTAACTGCTGCCCCAGCAAGAAGTAACTTTTAATGGCACTTTCCTAAGGGATATTTTGGCATCAGTAATCTCCAGACTTTGTGGAATATGTACAGAATTAAACGACAGAAAAATATGTTTGCAATATTTTGTCTTTTTTTTTTTTTTGAGATGGAAATTCCTTCTGCCACAAAATCTGCTATTTCAAATGCCATGAATTGATGAGACATCTTGTTTACAGACAGATCAAATAAAAGTTATTCCAACCAGAGGTAAAGCCAACATGTCCTGTCTGTTGCCTTTTGAGTTCACAACTGTATGTAGACTGAAGAGTTTTACAGTCTTTAGTTTTAATTCAGTTATTCAGTTTAAACTAGTTGTATTGGTCCTGCACTGCATATTAGCAACAATGTATACTTCTACTGGAAAAACGGATAATGATGTGCATCTTGCACACTGAAACGGAGGAGCACAACTCAGACTCAGATTCATTGTTGAGCTAAGAAATTCAAATATTCTCTAATGTGAGAATCTTAACTGTCGGGGGACGTTGACAAGTTCTCTCTCCCTGTGGTTCAATTAGTAACCCACCATATTTATTTATTTTTACAGAAACCAAATTTATAATAGATTATTTTGGTGGGGCTGTACCTTCCCTGGTAGTGTCAAACAATCCATGTAGTAATTTGTTGTGAACGCACTTTTTCAAAGTCATACAAATACATGAAAGTCCTTGGTTCAGAATGAATGAGAAGACACAAACCTATTATCAGAGTAACAAAATTTAGATACTAATCTGACTTTTGGCTTTTAAGTGAGTTCTTGCTCAGTCAAAAGGAAAGAAGTAGCTGAAAGTAATGACCTATTGGCTTTCATTGATGGGCTGTTTTTGCCGGCTTGAAACCCCATAAAAAAGTAAACTCTATAAAGCTGTTCCCTTTTATTTCTATGCAGATTTCAGCCTATTCTTCTGGTCAACACTCATATTCTGCTTGTTCCAACTCTTTGAAGCTGAAGTGAAATATTTGGAATAAACAATCAGAGTTTCTTATGGCTGCACAGTGGATATGTTCAAGATGTCATGTTTTGGAAACTTGGGATGTCCTCTATAATTTAAAATTAGGTGACATGAGTCTGAATAATGTGTGGCTGCAAAATATGAGTTTGATCAGTGGGGTGCTGCTGTTAAATGCTTTGAAACCCATACTACAACACGCTGAAGTTAGTGTCCGATTCTATTTGTGAAAATGCAAGGACGCAAAGGAAGATTTCACTGCTTTTTCCACATTTAGACCACATCAGACTAGGTTCAGATCAAAAACCACTATACTTAGACTGAACTATACTTAGATTCAAATCTGAACTAGATTAAACCAAAAAGACTCTTTGTTCTGTGAGATCTTTATACTATTTGTGAAAACACAAAAAGGGGAGACGCCACTGTGAGAAGAACTTGCCTGTTATATGGTATACATTGCAAACAGATATGATGCACTAAATCTGTGTGTTCATTTTGTGGTGGGAGGGGAACAAGTACTGTTGTACTGTGAGTACAGTCAAGCTCAACAGATAGGCCTATAAGCAAAACCTTATAACAAGAGATTTGCCACAAAACCTTTGTCGCAGCTCTGTGACACCAACTGCGTGCTACAATTAGCCATGTAGCCCGTTGACGCCCCGCCCGTACCTGCACGATTGTCAGCAGCTGCTGTGGCCAGGTGTTCCCTTAGTCTTAATTAGGACGAGACCTCACGCGCTCAGTCGTTTAAACTACCTGCGCTTGAGGCACACTGCTGAGGCTAATCTGCCTGTGTGCGGTGCTTTTTCTTTGTTCCAATGGCGTATAGCGGGAACGGGGGCACTAAAATTTTGCTATGTTTAGGACTTATTGTGCTTGTTAGTTCATTTTGCCGTTGTTCTCCACTGACGAGGCTTAAGGCACTAGATAAATTAAGAGATAACTCGACACTCGGCCAAGGTCAAGCTACAGGAAATGATCTGCGCCATGGAAGACTCTTAATTGGGCAAAAATCTCTTTATGGTGCTAAACTCAAAGGAACCAAGGCCACAAAAAGCCTCCTGGAAATTGATACTGATTACCAAGCAGACATGGGTATGTACAGTTCAAATTCTTATTACAGTTCTGTACAATATGCACTACAAAAGTTGTTTGTTATAATTTAAAGCAATGGTTCACCTCTAGGCTTTTAATTTAAATTATGTGCATGTTAAAATGTTTAAATAATAAGTGTATTTATTTGAACTTAGCAAAAACCTTATTTTTTTAAAAGGTTGGGTTGAGCCAAAGCATCTTAAAGGGCAAGGTGAAGGATTTTCAATGCTGAGGCCAGACGCTGCAGCAGTGGAGCGACTCCTCAAAATGGAACCAAAGGTTGAATGTACCGTAGACTCCATGAAGCTTCAAGTCCAAGATGTTGCTTCTACTCAGGGATCTCTGCTCTTTGTGGATAGGGGTAAGTTAAGTATCCAGTGGAGTTGTGCGTTAACCATCATTCACAGTACTTGCAGTGTGCACAGAGCAGTTTCATGTAATTTTTTTTAATATTCCTCTTCTCTGTAATTTAATCTCTCAGGTAGTCGACTGTCTCCTCTGCCTCTGTCAAAGCTGCCACCAAACTGTGGTTACACCGTCAGGTCAACACAAAAAGATTTGGTGCTAGTTGCACCCTATGATGGTTGCTTTGTTGCACATGAGGTGGGATACTTTCTGAAAGCACAGCACACTTGAACCATTTACATTTCTGCACTTGTAACATTTTACTTGCTGGCTTCAGGAGGACTGCTACGTTCTCCCCTTGCGTTGGTGCGGGGTACCCGTGAAGATGTCCTGCCCTTTGATGAGACCATCTACATCTAACCCTCCGATGGTCACCTGCCACACTGAAGGCATGGTTGTGAAAACTGAATGGACAGTTTCTGTCACTAAAATTAAAATAAATTGTAAGTTATTTCATGACATAATTTATAAAGCTTAGTAAAGACATGACATGTCTTTTGCACTAGAAACCTTTCTTGGAGACATTTTGATTGTCAAACACGTGTAACACTTCACAATGGGCACATCCTTTTAGTTGTGCCAGGGCCCTTGTATTCAGGCTTGCTTACTGCCACCATAATTTAAGTGAAATTTGGGCTTTTCCTCCTATTCCACGCAGCACACTCCACAGTGATGCAGCAAAATGTTTGCTGGGTGATAAGACATTAGGTTGTTCTGGAAAACAATAACTTATCGCTGAGATGCAAATTTATTATTGGGTTGCTTTATGATCTATCATAGCTGTCTCATCTCATACTATAATCTTTTCTATTAATTCTTTATTGTGAGGGAAATTTTATTTTGAATTCCATAATGCCTGCAGGAAGTGCTGTGCTCATAATTTTAATTATAATTATATTATTATTATTATTATTATAATATAATGATGATTTTCTTATCCTTAATTGATTTGGCTATAAAGTGTAGGAAGCTAAAATAGGCTCAGGCTGTGGGAATTGATTTGAGGTATTAATGTAATTTTTCATTTTCCTAAAGCATAGCTTAGTTGACATTTGGTTAATTTTGAGAGTGAAAGAACACATTAAACTGCTTTTTAGAAAGTTTGCTTGGTAGTAATGTATATTTTACTTTACAGTAAATGGTAACTGGGAGCCACTGATGACAGCCTCACCCCGATGTGGGTTCAGTGTAGTTGTACATCCTGAGGGTGTGGTCATCTCTGTTCACTATGCACCTTGCCTGGAAAAAAAGGTACAGTATATATTTCTTTGATTCCAAAATTTCCACATTTTAAAACATTGTTTGCTTAACCATCAACATTTTGTTTCAGGATGGGCTCTACACACTTGAACTAGCTGGAGATGGAGAAATTAAAATTTCCTGTCCATCACTGTCTGCTCCACAAACTGAAACACCAAGCAAGGGGGGGCCTCCCCCCACCCCATCACATAATTTTGGTCCAGCTCAGAGTCCTCAGCCTGCTCTTCCCCAGTTCCCAGGTTTTCCTCAAAACCCAGAGGCACCTAATGAAAAACTGAATCAGGGGCCAAAGGATATCAATCAACCTCAGTTACCTTACTATCCTTTTTACCCCCATTTCTTCCACCCTCAACCGGACACTAAACCTCCAGTTACTGTACAGCCACTTCACTCTCCTGTTACTAAGAAAAATGGACTGCAATCCCAACATGCTGTCCATCCTTCGAATCTGCCAGTGGCCCCTGAGGGACAAGTGCCCCAGCCTTTCATACCTTTACCATTTTACCCTTGGCCGGCCCAGCCTGAACACGTGCCTGTTGAAAAAGAACCTCCTATACAGGCCTCAGCTGCCCCAATACCTAATGGCAGATGGGGAAACCCTTTTTACCCTTACCCGTACAATGTTAAACCACCTAACACTAATGTCCCTTCTGCACACAGGCCTGAACCAAAACCTTTACCTACATCATCTCCCCCAGTCGTCCAAAGTACTAAAGGACAAAGAAAACAACCTTACTACCCCTTTCCATTTTATCCTCAACCACCTAAGCCTGAAACTCCCCCTACACAGGCACCAGTAACTAAACCACCACCAGGTAAGTTGGACGAACATGTCATTCCCAATCCATTTAACCCCCCCCCTGGACCTCCTCAAAAACCTGTACAACCACCTGTAAGCCAGCCTGAGAAACACAAACCCTTTAATCCATTTCCTCCTTACCTTCAACCACCACCTTCTGAAGATCCTCAAGTAAAACAACCTCTCCAGCCGCTGTATCCTGAAACCCCTGGAAAACCATTACCTGAAAAGACTGTGCCACCAAAGCCCCCAGTTTCTCAGGAACCTCAGGGACAAATATATCAGCCATTCTACCATTACCCATTTCACCATCCATTTTGGCCTCAAGGTCCTTTTCAGACACACATGCCACCCACACAGCGAACCCCTACACCAGCTCCAAAGGGCCAAGTACAACAATCTCTTAGCCCTTTGCAACCTGAGGCATCTAAACCCCAAGTCCCTGGAAATTTGTTACCTAGCAAACCAGCTTCAGAGAGAAAAGAGCCATCACAACCTGAAGCCCCTCAGGGTCAGGTACACCAATACCCTTACCCTCTCTACCCTTACCCTCTCTACCCTCAGCCAGAGCCAACTGAAAAGCCAACCACTGTCCAACAACCACCACAACAGCCTGGAGCCCCTCAGGGTCAGGTACACCAATCCCCTTACCCTCTGTACCCTCACCCTCTCTACCCTCAGCCAGAGCCAACTGAAAAGCCGACCACTGTCCAACAACCACCACAACAGCCTGGAGCCCCTCGGGGTCAGGTACACCAATACCCTTACCCTCTGTACCCTCACCCTCTCTCCCCTCAGCCAGAGCCAACTGAAAAGCCGACTACTGTCCAACAACCACCACAACCTGAAGCCCCTCGGGGTCAGGTACACCAATCCCCTTACCCTCTGTACCCTCTCCCTCTCTACCCTCAGCCAGAGCCAACTGAAAAGCCGACTACTGTCCAACAACCACCACAACCTGAAGCCCCTCGGGGTCAGGTACACCAATACCCTTACCCTCTGTACCCTCACCCTCTCTCCCCTCAGCCAGAGCCAACTGAAAAGCCGACCACTGTCCAACAACCCCCACAACAGCCTGGAGCCCCTCGGGGTCAGGTACACCAATACCCTTCCCCTCTGTACCCTCACCCTCTCTCCCCTCAGCCAGAGCCAACTGAAAAGCCGACCACTGTCCAACAACCCCCACAACAGCCTGGAGCCCCTCGGGGTCAGGTACACCAATACCCTTCCCCTCTGTACCCTCACCCTCTCTCCCCTCAGCCAGAGCCAACTGAAAAGCCGACCACTGTCCAACAACCCCCACAACAGCCTGGAGCCCCTTGGGGCCAAGTGCACCAGCCATTCTACCCCTTCTACCCCCAGCCGAAGCCTGAAAATCAGCCAGTTGAGAAGCCAGTGCATAAACCCTCTTACCAACAACCATACAAGATACCAGATGCTGGAACAAATGGTGCTAAAACTGCCACTGAAAAGCCAGTCCCAAGTGAAAAGCCTCCAGGTGTCAAACCTCCAGACGGCCAGGTGTATCTACCTTTCAACCTGTACTACCCACAGCAGCCCCAGCACCCTCAACCAATAATATTACCCCCTGCTACCTCTGTGCAGCAGCCACTACCGGTCACCATTGCACAACCTAGTAATGGTGGTATATTCCCACAAGGTCCACAGCCAGGCTCTCCACATATGCCCTCTTTGTACTGCCCTCAATTTTGCCTTTCTGGATTTTCTAATTGCTGTCCACAAATTGCATTTCATCAGCATCTCCATCATATTGTTCCAGCTGGACTTGGCAGTAAAGATACTCCTCCAGTCTATCCAGCACTGCCTTTTGTCCCTTCACTGGCATATTCTGGGTTTGGTAATGGCTTGGGCACTGCTGTCCTTCCTCAAAAGTCAACTGAAGCAACAACGACGCAAGCTTCCACCTCTGCACCTACTTCTCCACAGGCCTCTCCACTTGGAAATGGAAAGCAGCCCTACTTCCTGCCACCAGATGGCAACCTCGCTGCACCAACAAGTATTTCCAAGAAGCCTGTAAATCCTCAACTACCAACTTACCCTTATTTTGTACCTAATTCACAATATCCTAATTGGCCGTATGTACCACAGAGTCAGATGCAAAACTTACCACAAAGCCAATCAGCAGCTGACTACAATGTTCTCTCTAACCCTCAGGCTCCAGGTAATGACCCAGTAAATCCATTGGTGCAATATAAGCCTTATTACATACAGCCCCCAGGGCAGCAAATGAGCCAGCCATCACCTGCAGACATGAATAATCCTTCTGGGCCTAATTTAATGTATTTTACTGGCCAATATCAAAAAAAGGAGCATACAGCAAACCAGCAAATTAAACCTAGAGCTAAGGAACTACAGCCACTTAACATGGAATCCAGTGACTCTAAGGGGCAGATGCATCCTAAAGTCCAAAGTGAACTTGATCCTTTTCTGATCCCTTACTACATGCTTCAAGATGCTCAAGCTTCTACATATAACTCGTCACAACCACAGTCATTTGTGAGTGGCTCAAAGAAATCCACCAAACATAATCAGACTGTCCATCCCTACTCTGAACCTAAGAGTTATTTGCTGCTACAGCATGGCCCACCTGGTAGGGAGCCCAACAGTTTCCATGAATCGTCGCTGCCTTTTAGAGATCTGGTTGATGATGCAAACTTGCAGGCACAAAATCTTGCGAGGCATGACAGTAGTAAACCCCAACATCCTCAGAATTTAAATCCCCCTCAGGACAAACGCCCGGATCTCAAATGGCTAGGGAAAATGGCCAATCCCTTACCTGGAAATGTCAACTACATGCCGAGGCCTGGTGATAAATCAGAAAATGTGCCATCGTTTGTCTCTGCTTTGAATGACCCTCATTTTCTGGATCTGCCTCAGGACCCTTCTTTCAGTTCAGTGCATTTAAAGCCTGAATTCCCTGAATCACTGAAAGATATGTGGAAGCCCCTTATGCCTCTAGGGTCCAACCAAAGGATTCCAGCTCATGTTCCTGGAGAGGCATTTCAGCAACGGAGTGCTGCAGCTGACTACCAAACAAACGGTGTGTTGTTAATGTTTTTGATTTTTTTTTTTTTTTTTTTTTTTTTTTTTTTTTGCTGTAGCCCAATTTTTATTTATCTATTTTTTTTTGTACTAATGTGTTTGTCTCTTGCAGGACTGAACCAAGCCATCCAGAGAGAAGCTGGAAATCAGAAGCAGAAACAAGTTGCCCTCAATGTGAATAAACAATTTAAACAGTACCTCAGCTTGTGCTTCTTTCCCCAGCAATAAGCTTAAGAATTAGTTTTTGTCTGGGTTGCATATTGGTAAAAGTTTGTGGGTAAACAAAATCTGGAAAGTGGGTGTAAAACAAATGTTAGAAGTCAATCTCTTGACAGAGACAGTAAAGTATGTCTTTTTGACTACTTTCAAAGTTAATGGTTTAGTCAGTTCTTGTTGGCATTATAGCTGCTTTTTAGACCCAAACAGTGCATTGCCCTTGTTGAACTGATTTGTCTTGCTTATTTTGCCTTACCATGAACTGGTGCTTACTGAACATTGACCCATTCATGTAAACACACTTACTACTTTATCCATTCATCAACAGTGGCCTCAGTGAGTGCAACCCTAAAATCTTTGTGCTTGTTGTTAAAATTTCAGGTTTTCTTTGCAAGTTTAACATTCCACTCTTTCACACAGTAATGCTAGAGCTGTTTATACAGTAGGGTAAAATTATTTGCTCTTTTTTTCTTTTACAACAGCAACAATACTTGAGTCTTTTTCAAAACTCTTCAGTCAGTACAACATTAGTCGGTGTGAACTAAACAGGATCACTTTCTTTGCCTTGACAATGCATTCAGTGACCACATCTTTCCAAATTCATAAATCAGGTACAATTATTTTCTCACTCAAACTTGTCCACCACTGAAGTTGTGTATGTGCATTTTAAAAACTTTAAATTAAAACAATCCAAAATAATTGCAATTTGCTACAGTCTTGTACGTTTACATCTAAAAAAAAAAAAAAACAGGAAAATTAGAAGGAACAAAAAAGGAAAAAACCCACCACAACCGGTTCCCATTCAGCTGAGTGTCACCAAAGTGATTAAGGTTTCCGTTCATGCAGCCCATACAAATGGGCTAGTTTTTGGAATCAATTTATCTCAGTAAACAAGGACCTAGACAGTCACAGAGATGGGTGGCAGGAGCACATGTGTGAGGAGGAAGACCCAAGGGTGTATGAGCTTAGAACAACTATGACTGAGCATGCCATAAACCATGGTTTGTTGACAAGTGCTTTACAGAGGGATTACTTGGTTGATCATTACAATAAAACAAAAACAGATATAAACATGACTAAGAGGAATAAATTAATAAAGAGAAGTAGATTAATAAAAGCACAAAATATCTGGATAAAATCATAAACACAATAGCATTGCACTGAGAACAAATAAAGATAGAAGACTAAGTGTGGTCAGTTCTATCTTCAATATGACAATTAAAAGGCTAAAGAGAGACTTTAGACAGGGAAGATCTAATAGTGTAACAGAGTGGTAAACTATTCCACAATACAGGGCCAAAAACAGAAAATACTCACCTTTGGATTTTGACTGGGTGCGTGGAATGGAGAGCAGTGATTGGTCAGCGTGTTAGTGTTTTTTTGGTCAGAGTGACAAAGTTTTCTTTTTAATACATAAATGTAAGCAACACAGACAACTGCAATGATACCAGCAATATACAGTGGCCACCAGAACAAAACATCTGACCTAGATCCACAATATATGACGTACAAAGCACATGAAATACTTGAGGAGATAACTGCACACTTACACAGATATGTTGTGGAAGTTTATGGACAAATTTTATATTTGAATCTGTGTGTTGGATATTCTATTGATATTAATCTTATGCTAACCCATAATTATAAGTGGTGCTCGGGTACATGGGAATATGCCATCCTGTGTCTGGGGGTGGGGGTTTCTTGTTGGGAGACACATGTTGTCAGTGTTCTGGTGCAAGCTCCAGCCCGTAAACATTTGACTAATGTTTGAAATATTGAACTGTCTCGGACATGGAGCCGTGGCTGTATTAGTAGAAATGTCAATGAGTTCACAGGAATGCCACTGGCATGAGTCAACATGATCAGCAAACAACACTGTGTTTTGCAATCGCCCTTAAAGATGTGCCATGAATTAATAAATACATTCCTGTTTGAGTTTGTTCATTCTAAGTTCTGTATAGAGAGGTAATCAGAGTGTCCTCACTAAACCTGTAAAAGGCCTTACATGACTCTCAGTCCTTCACTGACTGTCTTCACTGTTTCAAATATTAAAGAATGCATGATGACCTGAAAGTAACAACACAAAAAGCTTCAACTTAGGAGATTTATTCAGCAGCATTAAATGCAAATGTTTATCACCCATTTTACAGATATTTCAAAAACTGGTCATTTCAAACAGTTGATCATTACTCATTTTTAGGACATGTACTAGTATTACATCTACCTACCACAGCACATGTTCATATATCAATTAAAGTTAAGCTAGCACCAGTGTTGCTGAAGGAGGTAAATATAGAGTCTGTGGGACCTGTTCACTTGAAGAATCTAACCCTTCCTGGGCAAGCTGGCACAAGAAGAATAGGGTCTGTTTGAGGTCCAGGGCCGTCAACGACTGTCAGGTCGGGTGTAACAGCCACATCTCTCTTGAACAAAATACGAGGGATCTCACTACTGTGTGGGGAATCTGAGGCTGATCCAGAATCAGCTGCTGGAGCATCAGCAGCTGGAGCATCAGCAGCTGGAGTGGCTTCAACAGCTGGAGCAGGATCAGCTGCTAGAGTGGGACCAGCAGCTGGAGTGGAATCACCAGCTGGAGCTGGGTTACCAGGTGCAGCAGGGGCACCAACCACTGCAGGGACTATTGGTACAATTTCATCTGATTCTGCTGATTCTGCAGACAGAAGGCCGCTTAGATGAGGGTCATGGTGAGAGGTCAGTTTATGGTGTCTTAGACCATGCTTGTGTGATGGGCTGCCTGTGAACACATGGACTGCTGGTGGCAAAGCAGGATCTGGCACTGCAGTGCTGTTGGCATCTACAACAGGCATCTGAAAAAATTGTGTACATCAACAGAGGCTTAGAAATAATATTTTCTACACAAATTTTAAGATGATAAACTTCAAAACCTATTGTTGACATGAAACAGTATTTTACCAGAACGTTAAACATCTTGCAGTCCACTGCGTGAGCAGTGAGAGAACCTCTGGCAATGCAAAAGCCACGTTCCTGGTAGAGAAGAAAAAACATGATTTTATTCATTGTTTTCGTTCATTTAAATTGTTTTAATAGGGTTTTAGATTTATCATTGCCTTATATTTTAGATTAGCTTATCACCTGGGCTAAAAACGTGTATAATACATAATTCCAATAATAATTTTGAGAACCATCCCTCCATTCTTAGAAAAAAACAAAACAAGCAAAAAGTGTTTTTTCTTGTGAAAAAATAAACTGATGCTTTGTATACTTACAGCCAGGGGTTCATTCAGGGGCACGCAGACGTCATTAGTGCAATTCGCCTCAACTATGACATATTCTACTGAATATTGTGGCCCACCAGACACAAGCTGAAACAAGGGAAGTATTGATGTACTGACAGGCGCTAATTAAACGTGCAGGTGCATTCAATCTTGTAAAAAATCTTGTAATTCTTCTGAACAGGTTATGCTTGAGCCCACCTGGGATGACATCCTTCCAACTTCCAGAATAGTGTAAGTTACATTCACAGTATTGTTATTAAAGGTTGCCAGGGAGGCATGGGCAAATTCCAGCCCTGCAGTGTCATTTAGGGGCAGGAGGGAATAACAGCCCAAGCAGAGGTCCTCTCTTGATTCTATATGTCAATAAACAAAAAGACACATGCAGGTAGGTTTTTGTGTGCAAGGTGACACTTGTGTAGTATATTCTGTATGTGTGTGTTCATATGGTTGAGTGTGTGATCAGAAAGTTTTACCATCTGTTTTACACTTGAATGCGATAACAGTCAGAGCTCCGCCAACCTTTTTCAGCACCACATCACAGTCTCCTTCCACTGCCTGATTGGAAACAAAGAATCAGCTCATAGAGCGAAACAGTCTTCATTTTAATTGTCATTATTTTATATCCTAAAATTATTCTCATCATTACATTAGGTTGAATACCTATAATATGATAGCTTCTGTGTGCAAAAGGTAAGCAGTCTCACCGTCAACAGTTTGGGTCTGACTGTGCAGTTGGCAACAGGTGTGGGGTCCAACACATGACAGTCTGTCTCGAGCAGGTCAATTTCCAGGCCATATATGATGTCTCCATCAGGCTAAGAAAAAGTGAAACGAAACACTATTTATTCATTTATTTTATTTTTTAACTCGCCGCCATCAGACAGTCGTGTGGATGAATGTGCATACGTAGTTTCTAATGACACAGAAAAGTAGAGCATTGTTGACATGTTGATTCTTAATCTTTTTTGACATGTTTGTGCAAACGTCTTAAACGGAGCGTTGAAGGCATAAAATAACACAATTGAAAGAAAGAGGGGATATATTCAATAAAATGTACTTTTTCTTTTCTATTGCCCAGTGATGTAGAGGAAATGCACATGCAGAGTGTTTTAGCAGTGTAGTGCATATCATGTTCCCACCTCCTAGCTGAAGGAAAAAGAGGTAGCTATCTGTATCTGTCTTTGCCCATAACCACACATCTACTCACTGACTTACCCTCGTGAGGACATTAATATCCTCGATCCGGTTCAGTGCATACTTGTAGCCATGAGTGTGCTGGGCATTGAGGTAATTCTGAGCCACCAGAGCAGCCTCCTCCGCCTCAGGGGAGTCACACAGAGGCTGTTGCACATTGACCTGAGCCCATACCACCACCAGTAGTCCCAGAACAACAGTGATGCCCAGAGTCTTCATTTCTTTCAGAGATGCAAGAGGTATCAGAGCAGTGGAGCAGATAAGGAGGAGTGGCAGAGCTGATGCAGCCCATGTATATATCCTGTACTTTAAACAGGAAACAGAGCCAAGTCAAACACAATGATCATCCCTCCTGACTCCTGCGTCACATGTGGGTTGTATTCTGTTTCAGGACTGCTGCCAAAACAAATGTAAGTTGACAAAGTCTAGCATTGGAGTTTAAATCAGTGATAATTCACTGTTTTTTATGGTGAGAGATTTGCAAACATCTCTATCATTTAATAGCTGTCCCCAGATCTGGCATCTGATCTGTCCCTTGAATTAAATGTCATAAGAAAGCGTGTGAAGAGCTGCAAGTTTAAACACCCGTATTGGGCAACCGGCTGTTGCAATCCACGGAGGTCGATTAGAGTGGTCATCCACAGTCACTGCCACCAGGGGTTCAGTGCCTTGCTCAATGAAAGTTCACCAAAGAGGATGTTTGCCAACAGGGGGGTACAGTTGAGTGACACGCATTGCTTCCGCCCACATATTTGCTCTTTATTGGACCATGTGCACAATACACTAGTGTCGCCTCAGGTCTCGATTAGGCTACAAACAGAGATACTGATGAGAGGATTACCAGTAAAAAGTAGTGTCCTCTCATACAGATGTCAGCAATAAAGCACTGGAAGGACACCCATGTTATATCACTTTTTGTCTTTGTCTTTATCTTTTTGTTACATTTCTTTTTCTTTCTAAGACAGGCAGACTCAGCATCTCTCCTAAATCTCCTCTTAAAACCCACTTTTATCCTAACTTTTGGTAATTGTTTTAATCTTTAATTTGTTATGTTTTTGTTTCCTTGTTTTTACTGTGTGTTTTGAAAAGTGCTCTATAAATAAACTTCTTCTTCTTCCTATTATTATTATCATTATTATTATTATTATTATTATTATTATTAGTAGTAGTAGTAGTAGTAGTAGTAGTAGTAGTAGTAGTAGTGGTAGTATTCCTTCTTTTGTCCTAAATCTACTCGTCGCTCTTACTAAAATCTGATTGGTCGGCGCCAGGGTGACGCATTTCACACGCGACTTAATTGTATACATGCTGTGTAGTGCGCTGCAGGTTAAACCGGCAAACACCGTGTCCAAAATAGAAAGTATATTAATTCAACAGAAGGTAGACATGGAGGACGTTTATCAGACAAGAGCTCGTTCCGCTGCGAGGTTTCAATGAGGCAAACGAGGCAGTCACGGTGAGGTGTGTGTTACCCCCAGTTGTTGTGTCAGTGAACCCAGCTATGTTAGCTAATTTAGCCAGAGGTGGGCTTTGCTTGGAAACACGTGTCGAGAAGATACCAAGCCAGGCAGCTCAAAACTGTGAGACCTCTGTGGTTTGACCGGCTGGAAGAAACCAGGTTTTAGTCTTCGTTTGTTAGCGTAGCTCTGTGAGACTGTGTAGGACACGTAGGAAGATCTTGCACTGTTGTACACAGCTTTGACAACTTTTAAACTCATTGCATTGTTCTTAGATCTTCCCTCAGTTGGATCCCACTAAAACATGTGTGTAAATAGTACACACACGTGCAAATGTGTGTTTTAAGTATCTGTAAATGCAGCAAGTATTCACATCTTTTATTGAGGTAAAGTAACAATACAGTGATGACAAAATGCTCCATTTCAAGTAGAAAGTCCTGCTTTCAAACCCTTAAGTGAACATTACATCAACAAAATGCAAAGTAGTTACTATGCAGCAGTGTTACATGTTAACATGATTTAACATGTGTCATTTTAATGCTGTAGGTGATTTTTACCCACTTACATAAAATGTACCACACAGAACTGTGCAAAAGTTTGAGGTTATAAAAGTGAAGTGAGGATCCTTTCAAACACAATGCCATTGGTAGTTTTTGTTTATCAATTAACATCATACAAAGTGCATTAAGTAGAAAAAAACCTAATCAGTATTTGCTGTGACCTCTGTTCGCCTTTAAACCAGCACCAGTTCTCCTCAATACACCTGCACACCATGTTTTTCAGGACTCCCCGTTCATACTTGTCTCTGAAGATAGGTCTTAATGACTCTGGCTGCGTGTCTGGTGTTGTTTCCATGCTGCAGAATGAATCATGGACCAATCAATTGCCTCCCTGATGGTGCTGTTTGATTGGCAAGAATCTAAACATCCTAAGCACCTAAAATTTTAGCACAGTATTGTATCTCTTGAGTAGCAACAGCTGTCGAATAAAGGAATGCAGTACAATGAAATGCTGAAAAATAGTGGAGTAGAAGTCTGAAGTAGAAATTGCAACTACTCTGTTACATTCAACCACTGCTCAGTACTGCTGTATTTCCCAGTCATAACCCTCATTCATAACAAAGAAAACTGTTCAAATTTCAGAAAAAAAGTTACTTTGTTCTTAAGGTCACTTAGTGTAACCTTAACGACAAAGTGAGATGAACATGTGTAGAAACACTGCATGTAACAACACATCCAATTTGTATTGCAGCAGATGTTCAGGCTGCCCATTACTCTGCTGAGTACGCCGCCAGAAGTGGAAGCAAACACAAGGTCACCGCAGACCATGGCCTGTAAGCTGAGTATCTCCTTGCACGAAGAAGACAAAATAAAATCCAGATTCAGCACTGTTGCGTTTGAGCTCTCTGACTCAGACCTGCCCCTCCCGCAGCTGTAAGGATACCCACAACTCCATGTTCTCATGTGATCCTCCATCAGTCTCTCCCAGATGCACCGAACACAGAGCCACCGGAGCAAAGCAAAGTACCTCAAGAGGAAGAAGGGCTTCATGTCTTCAGTCAAGGGAGTTTCTCATCTGTCCAGGCGAACCAAGAGACGCTTGTATTGTAAATTACAGCTTTGGATGTGGAGGAAGCGAAGAGAGAAATGCCGTTTTGGGATTTACAGAGCAAAGAAAAGAGCTTGTGGGATCAGCTCTGGCTCCGGCCCCTGTCTCAGTTTAAAGGCACAATCACAGAAAAATAAAAGGAAAGTTCCAATGTACCGGACACTAAACTTAGAAAATTCGCAAGCCAGAGCTTCATCTGTTGTGTCACCAATTGGTGGTGAAGCTTCAGAGGACACACTTAGAGGGGAGGATTGCCTGCTGAAGCCCCGTGAATCTGTCAGTCTGTCAGAAACTTTCACTGCTTCCAGCTCCTTACACGACCAGGTTACAGACACGAATGCTGCTGCAGCTACCATAACTCAAACCATACCATCTCCAACAGCAGCACTCTTTGGGAAGTTTTGTGAAATTGCAGATCCTTCTAAATATTCTTGCACTGTCAAACCCCTGCTGAGCACAGAGGACAGTGAGGCAGATAGAGGGATTACGCTGTTTAAGGCACCAAGGACAATGATACCTCCTCAAAGGCTTGAAGTCAACTGCCCATCAGGACAGCACACTAATGTCACTCCAGGTCAGGACCAGGCTCAAAGCGAAGACACTGATGAGAGATTCACCAGTAACAAGTCTTCTATCACTGATGTCGGCCTTAGAGCCCTGACTAAGGACATCCACGGTAGATGTTTTTTCGCTTTAACCCTTTTTTTTATCCTTTTCTTTGGATTTCCATTTCTGTTTTTTTACAGCTATTTGAGATAACGGTGTTTCGATGTTTCTCTAGAATTCCTCGATGGCTTCTACAGAATATATGGAAGTTTCATCCCGCTACAAAAGAGTGACGTGTTGAGACATCTGAAGAGGAAGTTTAATAGTGATTTCAGTGACAGGTAAATCTTGTTTAATCTTGTGATTCTCTCACTTTGCAAGATTAAAATGTCTTGTACTTTTTTTTTTTTTTGTGGTGATGTGTTAAAGGTGTGTTTACAAGTGCAACAGTGGGAGTGGTATCTGAAATTATTTTATTCCTACACCAATCATTTTATGTTTTCCTACTTCTGCAGGAAAAATATAATTTTCTCAGAGGTTACCAAATACAGAACTGCGATCGTTCAGAAGCCTGTGCCCTCCTTCCAGGTGGTCTACAAGAAACACACACTGACACTGGATGATTTGTTGACACTGGCAGATCAGAACTGGCTCAACGACCAGGTAATGATCCATCACACCCAGAGTTTCAGTTCTCATGCAGATTTCTGAGTGGAGAGATTTTGTGTGATGAGCGAAAGCCTTAATGTTTATGCTGAATGGAACTGGCACAGTTGTAAGCAAAGGTTTGGACAAATGACATATTTTGTTTTAAAGAAGTAAATCCAACCAGCAAACACACATCAAAAACTCAACCTTTCTTCAAATGTTAATGCACTATTACTTTGACAGCTTTGTGGTTTGACAAATGTATACCCTGACCCTGCTCTATAAGTAAAATTGCTATTGATTTTTGATCGATTTGATTGATTATTGATATTTGATATTTTTTAAAAGTAGATTAAATAAAAAGGATACAGTGCATTAACATGAAGAAAATGTCTGTTTGCTGCAGGGGTTGTATTTACTTTTTAACTTTTTACTACAACTGTATATAAATATTTTTGTTTCTGCTTAAGGTGATGAACATGTATGGAGAATTGATTGCGGAATCTGCCAGTCACAAGGTAATTTAATGAACTTAACAAGCTTAAAATGTTTTTTCTTCTCTAATTAAAAAAGCATCAGATGCATGAAGATTTTTACTTACCAGGGCTATTTAAATATTGCCAGTAATTAAAGGAACAGTTCAACTTTTTAGGAAATATGCTCATTTGCTTTCTTACTGAAAGTTAGATGAGAAAACTGATACCACTCTTATGTCTCTACGGTAGCTAGTGCGGCGGCTAGTTAGCTTAGCTTAGCATATAGCTGGTAACAGGAGGAAACGTTTAACCTGGCTCAGTTCAAAGATAAAAAAACAAAGTGCAAAAATGACATTATGTTACTTTGCTGGGGACTATTTCTTGGCTACCAGCACTGACTTCATTTTTATTATTTGTTATTAAGTCCTTTATTTAAACAGGTAGTCCCATTTAGAGTGGGATCTCTTTTTCAAGAGAGACCTGTGAACAAAAATTGACATGTACAGTTTATACATAGACAGACGCACATAAATTCACAGGGATTAAAAGGGTCACAAAGATAATTCACAGACACACACTGTACACTCTCACATTTAAAAAGCATGTGCAAGTGTGATTGTGAATACAGAAGTACAGTCTTTTGAAATGTTGCAGTGAAATAAGAGAGTGTAACTTCTTATTTCTTTGGAGCTCATTCCAGTTGTATGCAGCGTAGTATTTGAAACCAGTTTTTCTGGGTTCAGAGTGAACAAGAGGAACAGCTGAAGTTAAAATGTCCTGTGACCTGATGTGTAAGTGCTGTATTTAAATGTTACCAGAGAGCAGAGGTAATTTGGAAGTTTTTCTAGCAGAACCTTATAAATGAACAACATACAATGCTGCTTCCTACTATTTGTTAAGGTGGACCATCCCGACTTTTCAGATAGGATAGCAATGGTGAGTGAAAACAGTGTCACCTGTGATGAAGCGCAGTGTGCTGTGATAGAGAGTCCAGAGGTTTCAGTGTGGTGGGAGAATCACACATATATACAACATCACCATAATCAAGAGCAGACAGAATTGTAGATTGTTCATTGGTCTTTCGTCCAACAGAAGAGAAACATGATTTGTTTCTGTACAGAAATCCAGTTTTTACCTTCAGTTCGCTTGATAGGTGTTTCACATGGGTCATAAACGAGGTGTCCAACCAGAGACCCAAGTATTATAACATTCAACTGTTTCAATTTCATGACCATTAGCTTGAGTCTTGTCTTCACTGTGAAGTTACCAGACAATCCAGTGCGTATTTCCCAAAATGTTGACCCATTGCTTTAATTAATCACAGCATTTGCCTTTATGCTAGACTTGAACTCTTATCTATACAATACTGAAAGAACCTTAAGACAATGATAATTGTACATATGCTTTTTAAAGCTTACCCAGTGTGTTTTACTGTCATAAGCTGACTAAAAAAGGATTTCAAGAAATAAAAACACACAAACCTGCACAGACCTACATTGTTGTTGTTTTATAACTGTAGTTCGGTTACTATTATCTCCTTCTGTCTCCACCTCCTAGGTCCACTTTCTCAACAGCTTCTTCCACCGGCAGCTCATGACTAAAGGATATGATGGTGTTAAGAGATGGACAAAGCAGGTTGGTTTTAAGACGGAAAAAAAATGTTTTTCATCGTCAAATTATTATGCGATGACATTGACTTAAGACAGTAAGAGTGGTTTTAACCCCATCTCTTCTGCACAGGTGGATTTGTTTTCTAAGAGTCTGCTTTTGGTGCCCATCCACCTGGAGGTTCACTGGTGTCTGGTGACTGCTGACTTTGTCAAAAAGAAGATCTGCCTTTACGACTCTCAAGGGAACGCGCTCCAGAAAGTTGCAAGGGTAATAACAGATTTCATGAAATTTATTTTGTCACTCTAACAATATACTGTGTATATATAAACATTTCAGTTGCAAGTAATCATAAATCCACATCTGTAAAACGTTGTTTTTCTTGATGCTTTGCTTACAATAGAACATCCTGAAATACTTGATGACAGAAGCAAAGGAGAAGCAGCAAACGGCTTTTGAAAATGGTTGGGCGGTGTCGTTCGATGAGGTATGTATGTTTTGCCCTGAAATGACGAAAGCTGGCATCGTGCAGGTTGGAGGCATCATCTGCTGGAGATTCGCTCTGCAAACTGACATGATGTCTTGTCTCCCCCTGCTGTCCTTCACAGAAAATCCCACAGCAGACTAATGAAAATGACTGTGGAGTTTTTGTGTTGGAGGTAACATGCTATGCCTGCTTAGTATTCATGAATTTAGTCATTATCCTTTCCATTTTTTAAAAAACTGTTTGCTAATTGCGTAATAATTCTGTTTTGCTCTCCTTTTCAGTATTCTAGATGCCTGGCACTCGCAAAACCTCTTCAGTTTTCACAGGAGGACATACCAAAGATACGCAAGAGGATCTACAAAGAGCTCTGTGACTGTAAGCTCCATGAAGAGGGCTGACGAGTATCTGACAGTGTTATGTCTGTGGGTTTTGCTCATAATATGTGCTGCTTTGAATTTGGGTATGAAATCAGCAGCCCACACTCTCTCTAAGTGCAGGGCTTCACTCCCAGCTCACAGCCTTACAGCACTGTGAGGATATATAGGTGATCTCAGCAGGAGAGAGTCACTTCTGTGTGTGGTGCACTGTTCATGCTAAACCATGATCCTTGTATGATAGCTGTATTTATATGGTCAATATTTAATCAGGCATGTTATTTAATAAAAGAAAACATCTTATTGTTCTGGGAGTTTACACATCAACAGTGCACCAACAGAGCCTTACTGAACTGACTGCCTGTTGAAATGGATCTAATCCGTCATGGTACATGTCTGTGTTGCTGTTTAAAATATCTGTTCACCTTATTTGCACTTTGTTTTTTTGAAGTCTAATCTTGCATTGTTGACTTGTAGTTTGAGATATTTTGCATCATAGTTTCTGTTAGCACCAGATGACTGAGTAGGAAGTAGATGTATTTTGTTTCTAAAGAAAGTTATAGAACTGGACTCAGTCTCCAATTTATTATTTTTGTTTGTTGCCTAATAGGAAATGTGTAAATAAAGTTTTAAATAAAAGCGTGTTTCCAACATTTCACAAAGTTTATTTCATGTTTCATCTTACAGATCAGGTGCTGTATGCACTGCATGCAGAATGTCCTGTATTAATCTATTCTAGGTCACATAAGTATTTGTAAATACACAACTTCTTAGCTATAGACAGGTATTTTATTCATCTCCAGCACATTATAACTGTATCTGAGTGTGTCCCTGAACAGTTATAAAATATACACTGGTTAGAAAACAGTGCTCCAGAAAAAAAGTGGAAATTTTTAAGGCACAGGAAAAACTGGTTTTCAGTATGAGAACCAGATAAAATGTATGAATATACTGTAATAAATATGGTAAAATATGTAATATTCATTACCAAATAAATCTGTTTACAACAGACACATTTCTATTACAGACCTTGTCAGTACACGAGATATAATGGAATACAGTTTCACACCAAATATATGTTTATTGCAGCACTACTCTGTCTCTTCTGGTCTTGTGAACTCACTCCTCGCGTTAACTGTTGTTTGTAGAGCTGATATCAGAAAAACTCACGGGTGTGACTTTATCCAAAAAGCAGTAACAAGGTCAAAACTCTCCGTGATATTAAGGGAACAAGTTTTGGAATACAGCCTTTTGGTTGCTGAGAAAATTGTCCACTTTGTTTTTTGCAATGGAGATCCAGTCAATGCTGCAATATGCACCTCATTTATCAAGTGAAATCACAAGATACCATGAAAGAGAAGAGCTTCGCTTCACTACTGAGACCGTGTGGGTAGATATATTTGCTCCAACTATCACTCATACAGCAGTGAAGAAGCAGCCTGTCCAGAGAAAGCTGAATTCATCCACAGATGTTGTGATTTTCTCCTCCCTTTTGTATAAAGGATTACAGACAGGCTGCTGTGCTGTGTGCAGTTTTGTGATAACACAGTACATGATTACATGACATTTCCCTAAATTAGTCACATGTACTCCAATGCGACCCTCTTTCTTGACCAATAGTCAAGTTTGACCACAACAGACAAAGAGAGGCCTAATCATTAACGTGGAACCCCCACTCAATTTCTGGCTCATCGTCGAGGCGTATCACAAGGTAGGACACCAACTGGAAGAGGTTCTGCCACAGGCCCAAGAAGAGGTACAAGTAGAAGTCACTGACGTCTATTTGGCAGTGTATCCCAGAGTAATTCATATCACACACACACTCAAAACTGTTCACGTAGTTGACACAGAAGCCTCCGTTCATACACGGGTCTGAGGCACATTCATCCACATCCTTCTCACACCTGGGAAGGGGAATAAGGAGAGAAGTATTATGGAACAAAACAGGAAAAGAGCATCTTGTAAAACATATTGGCACAAATGGCAAGCTTAAATCAGTAACTGGCCACTTGGGGGCGGCAGAAACAAGCCACAATGACATCATCACCTTTAAATTTGTTAGCAAACAGTGACTTAAATCTGCACACCTAACAGAAGCAACATTACCATTCATTTGGAGATGTATTTCTGACCACCTGACAAATGTAAGCTTAAAGTTTACTCCTTTTACCTCTGTTTTTTGGCTCCACCTACTCCTGAGGGAAACATCTGGCTCTTTTGCTGCTGAATGCTCTGCTATGTTCACTGGCTAGTTGCTAACTTTTGTCTGTCTTTGCAGTTTGGTAATGGGCTATTAGCTTTTAGAGCTTTTGTGTGGAAAACAGCTCTATGCTGTATCTAGAAACAACTCAAGAGTAATGAGAGTGAACCAAACAAGTCAAGTTATGAGTTGTAAAAAGAAAACGATGAGCTGAAAGACACTAAAATTCTCTGTACAAATGAGGGAAACTACAAACCTGGGTCATTTTTTTTGTGGTTTTGTCAATTCAAATAACACCTTACATTACACATACCCGTTTGATCCAGTGTTAATGTAAAAATATTGACGACAGCAACTTTCAGCACATTTCTGGTGCAGTGTTTTTTCAGCCTTTTCAGTGTAATGGCAGCTATTCTGTATTTATTTACCTCAACTACAGAAAAGTAACAGGCTTTTATTGGCGGTGGGTCTTTATTTCTAATTCCCTCTGTCTGATTAGTATAATTGGTCATATTTTGGTAAGAAGACTCATTATGACCTTTGCCCTGTTGAAGTTACTGCATTAGACTAACAGGACGACTGAATCAAATACTTTAGATGAGTAATCCAGCACAACAAAGTGTTGAAAATAGCATGATTATATTGTTGAATGTATTAAATGAAAGTGGTAGAAATGGACATTATGCTTAACTGGTGTGCACAATATAAAACAGACACCAGTTTATCCGCCCTTTGTTTCTCCCCCAGCCTGTATTTATTCGTGTTGCCCACGCCCCCTCCCATTACTGCAGAGCCAGCTTTTAATCAACTCCTGTTCTATTTGAGGAAATAAGATAATACCTAATTAATTATTTCAGTTAATTTCATATCACAGACATATCAATAGATCAGTGGCAGAAATCCTAGTGGTCCTGTCTCAATATCTCGCGACCCCATTAGGTTCTCTGCCCCCGGGGTGTAAAGAGGATTAAATATTATTATACATGTCCTACCACTGTCCTGTGAAACCAGGCAGGCAGTAACAGGTGTTGTCTGCTTCAGAGCAGTTCCCTCCATTAAAGCAGCTGTATTTCCATCTTGTACCCATGCACGTAGATACAGGCAACAGAGGAAGTCTTAACGGACAAAAGAACACAACAAGACATGTCAATAACCTCCAGTCTGGTAAAGTTAATATTTACTTGGTTTAACAAAACAATGGAAATGTTCTTATTGTTTAATGTAGAAGCACTTACGGGTTTGTCTCAATGTACCATGGGATTTCTGGGATCTTGTCACTGTAAGAGACAAATTAGTAAATCAGTTCAAATAACTACTTGTTAATCTATTGTGAGTGTGTGCTACTGTTCATTCGTCAGGTTGTCAGGAAGATATTGATAAAGTGTTGATGAACTCACTCGCAGTATTGGCCTGTCAGATTTTGAGGGCAGAGGCATGTGTAGGTCTGGAAGCCTTTGAGGCACGTGGCGCCATTGCTGCAGTTGCTGTTTTCACACATGTCGACCTCTTCCTCACACTGTTCACCACTGTACCCCAGCTCACACACACACTTGAATCCCCCAGGTAGGTTGGTGCAGTTGCCGTAGATGCAGGGGCTGGAGGCGCAGCTGTCTGCCGAGTCTTGACACAGCGGCCCTGTCCACTCGGAGGGACACGTGCAGTGATGCAGGTCAAAAAGGTCCTCGCACACACCCTGGTTCTGACAAGGGTTGGGTGCACACACACTGGTTCCCCAGCAGCCGTATTGTGGTGCTGAGTTGCTATTTATCCTCGCAAACTGCTCCTCCTGAGGTCTCGGAAGATTCAACTCTATGTCCAGGTGGAAAGGGAGAAGAAGGCCTCCGATCTCCACTGTCCCCAGACAGCCAGACAGTTTCACTCCAGCGTCCAGGCTCAGCCCCCCCAGGAAAATGTCTGCTCCCTCCCTAAGAAAGTTCAGGTCCCCTGCAGCTGTTTTGGAAATGCTAGGTTCCTTCTGGCTTCCATCCACAGCCATGATCCACCTGGAGGTAGTGAGTGTCTTGTTCTCCATGCTGAACTCCACAGTGTGCCACTCTCCATCACTGATTGGACCCTGGCTTTGAACTGTCAGCTTGTCATCCCTGGCCTGTATCTCCATGACCAAATGAGAGTCCTGGAGGGAGACAGTGAGGTAGTCTGTGTCTCTTTGTGCATGCAGTAAGGTGGCAGTGGACTGTCTTGTGCGGAAACTGAGGAACACACTGGTGAGGTTGCGCCTAATTTTTCCATTGCTCCGGTATTGCAAAATGCTGCTTTCAACACGAAACGTCACATTAGACAAACCTGAAGGAAAGAAATGGAAAAGACTTAATGAACTGAAATTGAATTTGACTATTTAATGTAGTTTTCCCAGTCATTTAAGTCATTCCATTACCAAGACACAGTGCCCTTTCTTACTATAATTATCCCTTTGGAACATAAAAACCCTCTGGAAACCTGGTTTCAAATCTTAAAGAGTAACCCAACACCCGCCTGACCACAATCAGCTGAAAAGTCCTTTGTTGCATCTGTAACCACACCTAACAGCAGTGTCACTGTGTCCTAAAGTACACTTGTACATCCCTACAGGAAAGCAAAAAGTTAAACCACTGCTGATCAGCAAAGACAAGATTTTTAGGGGGTATTAAGTTACTCATATAAAACTAAACACACAACAACCAAAATTAAGGGTTGGAAAAAAACATGAATGGGTATTATTAATAAGAGTTAAACACTGACAACTTGAAGTTAATTGGCCTTATCAGGACTGTGAGGGTGTGTTTTGATCAGACTTGATTGATATTGTTGGAAATATAAGCAATAACCCAACAACTGGCATCATGTTTTGTTGCTGAATCCTTTTTGGTGCATGGAAGTATGGGACATCGCTTTTCTCCAGATGAGCCCTGCCCACTTATAACGAGAAAACCAAGGACAGAAACACAATTACAGGGCATTTTTTTATGTGGAATAACCTAAACTGTTCTATTTTGGCAAATGAATGTATTCATGTAATCAGTCAAAATACAAAGCTAAGTAGGTTTTCAGGGCCTTTAAACTGTTAGTTTGTTTAGCCTGGTAAAATGCCCAACAGACAAAACAGTGTGTTGAACAAACTGCAAACAACGTGACCTGCTGAAATGGCTTGGACTGGCGGCTACTCTGGATCAGCAGCTCCCCTCCTTTTCTCTTTGTGAACATGTGACATCTCCAGGAAGACTTGTCATCATAAACTTCCACAGGCATGTGGCGATAGACTTAATCTGACCAGGGATTACTGTGTCTTAGAGGAATCCTATGTAGGATCCCTGCCTCAACTCTGTTCCATGCTGTAATCAGTCACACAGTAATTAATCAGTGCCTGCACTGGTGAGGGCCCTGAAGGGACTGCCTGCACACTGCAGGCAGTCCCGTCCGTGGACATAAACTAAGATCA